CCACCCACCCATCCATCCATCCATCCATCCATCCATCCATCCATCCATCCATCCATCGATCATATGTGTGTGAGTGTCCATGGGTGTGTTGTGTAGGCCATGATAGGCATGCCAGAGTATAAATGTGGATGTCAAAGGACTACTTGGGGAGGTCAGTTTTCTTTTAACCATGTGAGTTCCAAGAGTTGAACTCAGGTCGTAATGCTTAGTGACTTTTACCAAGTAAGCTTTCTTTCCCCCTTTTTTGAGGCAGTGTCTCAATTTGTAGTTCTGTCTAGCGTAGAATTTGCTATGTAGACCAGGCTGGTCTCGGAACTCATAAGACACACCTGCTTGAATTAAAGGCATGTGCCACCACACTCAGTCAAATACATTCTTTCTATAAGATGTCCATTTAATTAGACAAATTAAGGGGCCATAGTGTAATGTAACTGGCCATAATGGTTACATGGCATGGCTATAATCCTTTGGGAGCTGAAACAAGATCACAAAGTTAAAGCTAGCCTAGGCAAAATAGTAAGACCCCATTTCAAAATCAACCAATCACTGGGCATGATGGTGCATACTTTTAGTATGACATTAGCTTCAAGAAGCAGACATGAGGAAGGACAAGCCAGGGAGGTAAGCATTTGCAGTGTGTCAGAGTGAATGGAAACAACAATTCTCTCCCTCTCACAGTCACATCCTTGACCTTGCCACCCCTATTTATCCCCATCATTTTCTCTTATCCTATCATTTCTTCCTGGCTATTATTTCTCCCTTGGTTTCGTGACAAAACTGTAAATTGACAGAACAAAGACTAGAGGCTCAAAAGTCTTAAGTGACACAAAGTTTGGGAGAAGAAATAGGGAAAGTCATGAACTTTGGATTGGAGAGTGGGACAATGATTAAAGTTCAGAAGTTAAGCTGTGCTGGGTCATGAAATCCTATGGAAAATGGGCATCAAATTGCCCATAAGGCACAACGTAATTATTAAGTTTCTCACCTTTGATACAGATTCTTTACAGCAGCTGGTCTGACTGGCAAATGAAAAATGTGTTGCTCATCCAGAGGATTTTGTTTGTAGTATTTTATGCAGGATCTAGAAAGATGAAACAATCTCTTTTAGGAATAAGAGCCATCAGAAAATATATAGGCCTTATAGTCTAGAAAAACATTTTACTGAGTACACTAAGCAGGAAACCAACAGAAGGAATGAATTCAGAGCATAATAGTAACAAACAACCCCCACCATGCCAACGAAACTTGGATGATGTTTTCTTTCTGTCCAAGGAAATCCCATTCACTTAAAAACAAAAATTATAGCATGCAGATTTCTTATACTAAAAACACATTAGTCTAAGAATGTAGCTAGAGCATCTTGCCTTTCATAGGCAAGGCTCTAGGTTCAATTCCCAGCTGAGCAAAAATATAGACTTAAGTAGGAAGTATCTGAAAGATAAAAAAATTAGTACAGAAGAGACAAATATAGACTCCATGGCTTTCAGAATCCTGGGAGTTCAACAATTAAATTTATTTATTGTGTGTGTGTTTGTGTATGTGTGTATTACCATCTCAAAGTAGATATGTAGAGAGATCTGAGAACAACTCTGAGGTGTTAGTTTTCTCCTTCTACTATGTGGGTTCCTGGGCCTGAACTTGGATCCTCAGACTTAGCACCAAGTATCTTTATCTGCTGAACCATCTCTCCTGTCAAGAATCCAGAGAATTAAACTAATTCATTGATACTACTGATCTTTCCTTTTTCATTTCTCCCGCCCTCTCTTCCCACCCCCGCCTTTCTCTAGTGCTAGGTAATGAACCCCAGGCCTCATGCACGCTGGGCAAATGCTCTACCACAGTGCTGCATCTCCAGCAGATCTATAGGAATGATGCTTAACAGGGGGAAAACCTTTTAGATTGAATAAGCAACAATGATTTTAAACTTTCTTCTTTATATCTTTACAACTGATGCAAATTCTAAATTTGGAAAATGTGATTTGGAAAGATGACTTAAGAGTTAAAAGGGGGGGCGGGGGAAGAGTTAAAAAGATTTGCTATGAAGTCACAAGGATCAGAATTCAGATCCCAGAACCCATATAACAAGCTAAACATCCCATAGCATGTCTGCAGTGCTAACTCAGCTAAGAGGTAGAGGGAGGAGGATTGCTGGGGTTTGCTGGATTTCACCTATTTGAGAAAATGCAAACCTCAGGTTCTGGGGAGACCTTTCCTCAGAAAGAAGAAACGGGCAGTGGGGAGCAGTGAAATGATTCCACTGGTAAAGGTGCTTGCTGCAAATCCTACAACCTGTGCTCACTCTACTCACATAGTAGGAGGGAACAGAGTCCTATAAATTGTTCTTATAACTGCCACATATACATGTTGGCATGCATATGCATGCACATTTAATAAATATAATTTTTTTTTCTTTTGAGATAGGGTCTCACTATGTAGCCCTGCCTGGTCTTGAACTTGCCTATGTAGGTAGAACATAGAACTCAAGAGATCAGCTGCCTCTGCCTCCTAAATGCTGGGATTAAAAGCATGTGTCATCATAATCAGCCAAAAATTTTTTAGAAAAATAATTAGCCAGGTGGCGGTGGTGGTACATGCCTTTAATCTCAGCACTTGCGAGGCAGAGACAGGTGGATCTCTGGGAGTTTGAGGCCAGCCTGGTCTACAAAGTGAGTTCCAGGACAGCTAGGGCTGTTAAACAGAGAAACCCTGTCTTAAAAAACAAAAAGTAAAAACAAAGTACTTTCATAGTACTAGGATTGTTCTAAACTGCCTGTAGTTCTAAACTGCCATAGTACTAGGATTGTTCTAAACTGCTCTAAGCACAGTCATGCTACTGACATGTCTGTGGATTCCCCAATTAGTAGTGCTTAATCTGATCTAGATTTACAGGAGTATAGAACTGTTTTTTTTTTGTTTGTTTGTTTTGAGACAGGGTTTCTTTGCATAGCCTTGGCTGTCCCAGAACTCGCTCCGTAGACCACGCTGGCCTCGAACTCACAGAGATCCACCTGCCTCTGCCTCCCAAGTGCTGGGATTAAAGGTGTGTGCCACCACCGCCTGGCTGAAACTCAGTTTTTAAAATTAAAATACTATTTACTAAGGGCCTATTATGTATCAGGTGCCGTATATAGGATACACCATTTAATCCTTCAGCAGTCAATTGAGTTAGTATACACTTTTTCAGAAAAAAACATGATTCACTGAAAGGAAACTTCCTAAAGAAGCCAGGCATGAGAAAAGGTCAAAATCTGATTATTTTTCAATCCAAAGCCTTTCAATCATATAATATTGACATAAAGCCACACTAAAGTAAAGACTAGGCAAATAGGTTCTAGTCTAACTAGCAATAAAAATTGCAAATATTTAAAAAAAAAAACAAACAAAAACCCAGACTTATTTTATGTGGATATATTTGTGCCTGCGTGTATATATGTGTATCATAACACAATTAAGCAGGAGTCTAAGGAGGCCAGAAGAGGGTGTCGGATACCCTAGAACTGGAGCTAGAGATGGTTTTGGTTTGTGAGCTTCCATGTGGGTGCTGGGAACAGAACCTGGTCCTCTGCAAGAGCAGCCAGTACTCTTTTTTTTTTTTTTTTTTCCGAGACAGGGTTTCTCTGTGGCTTTGGAGCCTATCCTGGAATTAGCTCTGTAGACCAGGCTGGTCTCGAACTCCCAGAGATCCGCCTGCCTCTGCCTCCCGAGTGCTGGGATTAAAGGCATGCGCCACCATCGCCCGGCAAAATTTCTTTTTTATATTTTTTTTATTTATTACGTATACAATATTCTGTCTGTGTGTATGCCTGCAGGCCAGAAGACGGCACCAGACCCCATTACAGATGGTTGTGAGCCACCATGTGGTTGCTGGGAATTGAACTCAGGACCCTTGGAAGAGCAGGCAATGCTCTTAACCTCTGAGCCATCTCTCCAGCCCCTCAGCCAGTACTCTTAACTCTTAACTGCAGAGCTATCTCTCGAGCTCTGTGCCTACTTTCAACTGTACTTTTTAGAAGAAGATATTTAGAAGAGGACAGATCCTAAATAAGTAAACAGTAGAACAATACTTACTGTAAGCTGTTGTGGTAGCTAGCACCTGTTATTCCAGCGCTTGGGAAACTGAGGCAGGAGGATTACGTTGAGTTTGAGGTCATCATGGACTACAAATGAGACAAGCCTCAAAGCAAAATGAAAAAAAAAATACTTACTGTGTTAAAGAAAAGAGAAGCTCATGCTGAGGTTTAATGAAAAGCATGCAGATGACTAGAATTTCTAGAATATGGTGGAGTTTCTGAACACGATAAATCTGTTCTTGTGTAGCTACTGATGGAGAAATGAAGTATTCCTGGAAAGAAAGAAATAGAGAGTAAGGAGGCAAAGACTAGGCAGAGCCTCTGAGGGAAAATGGCCATTCCCTTTACCTCTAAATGTGTACGCTTAATACTAGGATTAGAAGGGAAAGGTAATGACACAGAATCCACCATCTTTCACAACTACCCTTTAAACTCAGGTCTTTACACCGGGCGGTGGTGGTGCAAACCTTTAATGCCAGTACTCGGAGGCAGAGGCAGGCGGATCTCTGTGAGTTCTGAGCCCAGCCTGGTCTACAGAGTGAGTTCCAGGACAGGCTCCACAGCTACACAGAGAAACCCTGTCTCAAAGAAACAAAAACAAAACAACAACAACAAAAATGAATGCCACAGGCAAACAGTGGTACACAGTCTCCCAGACAAGCTAATCCCAGGGTTGTGTCATTAAGGAGGCACAAGTGGGCAGCCAACACTACTCATTACTGGAGACGGCATGAAGGACTGCCTAATCTGAAAGACCACTCTAAATTTCTCTATACCTGGTGAACCCAAGGTTGAGAAACTAACAAAGTGTTCGGCAATCTTTCCCTAGTACACATTACTCGTACACCAGCAGAGCTTTTGGAGAAGAAATTTGTCAAGCTAAACTAGTGTCATCAAATGTTCCTCTTTCCAGTCCTACTTCTGAGACCAAACCTAATAACCCATAGTGGGAATGATAAACAGACTTTGACAATAATCTTCAAGACTAGGCTCTTGAAGTGTGCAGTTTCTACAATTCTGTCCCCTTGAACAAACCTACAACTAGCAGACATGATGTGGTTTTATGATGTGGGATTTAATTAACATAGTTTCTGTGTGGTTATTTCAGGACTGAGCACCCAGATACAAACAAGCAGCCTCCTTATAACAAATTGATGCCCAATGTGGGGCCCAAACTCTTGACCCTGAGATTAAGAGTCTCATGATCTACCGACTGATAATATTATATCCTTCTGCAGTCTTTGACGGAGTTGAAGAATAGTTACAGTTTTTGTTACAATAAAAAATAAATAGAAATATTGTAACTGTAATTCTCGTTTGATACCTGTTTTGTTATATGTAATTTTATTATGTTAAAGTTAAAACCTTCCTTTTTATTTAAACAGAAAAGGGGAGGTGATGTGGAAATCCCCTCTGTATGCTGTGACTATCTTTGGTTAATAAAAAAATTGTCTTGTGCCAGGCAGGGCAGAATAGAGTTAGGCAGAGAAAACTAAATTGAATGATGGGAGAAAGAAGGTAGTATCAGGAGAAGTCATATAGCCCTGCCAGAAACAGATACCAGATGGAAACCTGCTGGTAAGCCACAGCCACGTGGCGATACACAGATTAATAGAAATGGGTTAAATTAAGATGTAAGAGATAGCCAATAAGAAGCTAGACCTAATAGGCTAAACAGTGATTTAATTAATATAGTTTCTGTGTGGTTATTTCGGAGCTGAGCAGTCGGAAATGAATAAGCAGACTCCTTACAACAAATTGGCGCCCAACCTACTAGAGGTTTACTCACATAACTAGGTCACTAATAGATTATTTGTTAATCAAAGGAGGATTATCACCTGGTCCTAATAAAAACCTGCCCAGAGTAGCCTTTTAGAAGACTGAGAGGCACAGGAGATGAGCCAATTCACTAAAGAATGTCATAATTTTGTTTTGTTTTGTTTTTTTTGAGACAGGGTTTCTCTGTATAATCCTGGCTGTCCTGGAACTCTCTTTGTAGACTAGGCTGGCCACAAACTCAGAGATCCACTTGCCTCTGTCTCCATAGGCTGGGATTAAAGCTGTGTGCCCAGCTGGAATTGTCCAAACTTCTTTAGCAAATAAGCCTAAAATATAACACAAATGAGTCAAAAGGATATAAAATAAATACTCCACCATAGGTCTAATGGCTTTTCTAAACATTCTAGATAAAAGTTTTGGTAGAACATTGGCTTTGACTAAATAAAAACTACGTATCAGTTGCATAAATACAAAGAGAAAAGGAAAGAATGACATGGAATAAGCTACTTTTAAATTTACTTTATAGCCGGGCGGTAGTGGCGCACGCCTTTAATCCTAGCACTCAGGAGGCAGAGGCAGTCGGATCTCTGTGAGTTCTGAGACCAGCCTGGTCTACAAGAGCTAGTTCCAGGACAGGCTCCAAAGCCACAGAGAAACCCTGTCTCGAAAAATCAAAAAAAAAAAAAAAAAAACTAAATTTATTTTATAAATAGTAATAACTGGCATAAGTGTCTCACTGATACTTCCAAGGATCTGGAACAGAGGCTAGCACACTATAGACACTTAGCAACTGTGTGCAGAATGACTATATAAAAGAAAGAAACTTACCAAATGATTCAAAGACGCAAGTTCCTGACCTATTCAAAAAAAAAAAACCATACATGCAAATAAGCTTTAATAATTTTGCAACAAAATTTTAAAAATTAAAAAGGAACCTAAGAAAAATTTTCATAGTTCATACATTAAAGATGCAATCAAGTTAAATAGTTCCTTAATTATATTATAAATACATACTAATATTTTAAAGCTGAGCATAGCTTGCCCCTAATAAATAAAGTATCAAGTGTTAAGTAGTGAAAAAAATCTTTTAACTAGGGACAACAAGATGGCTCAGTAGGTAAAGGTACCTGTCACCCAACCTGCCAACGTGAGCTAGATCCTGGGATCCACATGGTGGAAGGAAGAACTGACTCCAGCAAGTTATCTTCCCACTCCACATGCACACCGTGGCACAGGTGCCCGGCCACATGACATTAAAAAACAAACAATTAATATCTAAACAAAAAAAACGAACACTATAGCTCTTTTTAACTTATTATATTTATCAAGTGGGAAAAAGGCTCAGAGAAAGAAAATACTTGTCTCACAGCCAAAGACTTACAATGAGTAGGAAGGTAAAAATATATGAGTATTTATATGTGGCAACTGACAGGTTTTCAAGTTTTTAAGTTAGAAAAAGGACTCACTGACAAAAAAGCTGATATAATCTTTCTTTAGTTTGTCCAATCCAATTTCCAAGAGCATTTGAAGTGGGGTAGTTCCAGAGAGAGGGACGCTGTCCATGGCTCCATGGTAAGATTGATGAATGAGCTTACTTAGTAAGCTGTTACTCCCACTGTGCAGCTAGAAATAAAAAAAAAAAGTTTATAAATCTTAAATTTAAGTATAAACAAATGTAATAAGCAAAAGATTAGGAGTTCAAAATTATAATTTTACATTTTCGGTCTCCTAACACTATAAATTATTTCAATTAATGCCCTAAAATTAACCTGAGCTACCAAGATGCCGCTCCTGGCTGGAGATGTGGCTTTCGAGCCCTTGCCTAGCATGCCCAAAGCTCTGCGTGCTGGACCTTACGAACAGGAGTGGCAGCACACGTCTGTAACCCCAGCACTCAGAAGGTAGAGGCAGATGTACAGAAGTTCAAGATCAGCCATCCTCAGCTAGGCAGTCAGTTTGATACCCTAATTTTTTTTGTGGGTTTTTTTGTTTCATTTTGTTTGTTTGTTTTTGTTTTTGAGACAGAGTTTCTTTGTGAGCTTTGGAGTCTGTCCTGGAACTCACTCTGTAGGCCAGGCTGGTCTTGAACTCAAGAGATCAACCTGTCTTTGCCTGCTGAGTGCTGGGATTAAAAGTGTGTGCCACCACCGCCTGGCGATACCCTAATTTTTCAAAACCCAAGAAGAAAAAGTAAAGCTATTCCTACTTCACTTGTGTGTTGAAAATCCAAAGCAACTAAGAAAGGTCTAAAGCAATAAGCTTAATTTTACCAAAGAGAAAACAGAGTTGGTTCTTTGAAGCTTTACAAGACTCCGCCTGTTGACTTCGGAACCACTGGGCAACTTAACTAACGTTCTCCACTTCACTCACAATGCAAGTAGATTGAAGGAGCATGAACTCTGCTCCTCGAGGTCTACACATGTGACAAAGTTACTTTTCAGATGTGACAGCCAACATAATAATTTACAAATTAGAAATAGCTATCAATTCAGACTTAACTTAGGAACCAAATGTTAAACAATAGGTTTCAAAATAAATAAAATGTCACCTTGCTGCTACTTTCTAGTATCTCTGCTTCAGCTTCTCTTAATCTTCTTCATTTGCTCTTTTTAAAAACTAGCTTCCCTTGGTTTGCACTCAGTGTGCAGCAGATTCATGCTTACCAACACCCACAACCCAGAAACGCACTTCGACAGGTGAGGTGTAAGCACCTACAACTGCTGCCGCCAGCCCAGGCAAACTCCCCCCNCCCCCCCCCCCCCCGTGCTTGTTCTGTGTATCCGTTTTTTACAACACGCAAAGCTGATCATTGTGCCTGCTGCTGGGGATCAAACTTAGGGCTTCACACAGCTACAAACTAACTTTCAGCATGATGAACTGGTAGCCACAGTATTTAAAATGGTTCCTAATAAGCTAAATCTTTTACTTTGCTTTTTGTTCAGTGTAAAAGTAACAAAACCTCACTTTGGTAAATTCAGACAGTGGCAGAAAGTCCAAGCACAGAGAGCGCAGACAGCGGTTCATAAGTCTTCTCCCACAGGTGGCTGTTACTCACAATTTAGTCCTCTGATCCCAGTTTTTTTTTTTTTTTTCAAAATTTACACTTTATACAGTTATGTGTATTCTGTATCATTTGTTGTCAATCCTGTTTTAAAAGCTGTTACAGGGGTGGAGAGATGACTCAGTGGTTAAGAGCACTGACTGTTCTTCCAGAGGTCCTAAGTTCAATTCCCAGCAACCACATGGTGGCTCATATCTATCTCTAATGGGGTCTGATGTCCTCTTCTGGACTAAAGGTGTACATGCAGATAGAACACTCATATATAAAATAAATAAATAAATAAATAGTTTAAAAAAGCTATTAAAAGCTATTAAACACATCATTATATGGTTATATTATTGCTACTTAGTCATCTCATCAACAAGAGAAAAGTACATTATTTTCAATTTTTGGTTTCTATAAACATTATTATATAAGTATTCTCATGGACAAAAACCTACTTTTTTTTCCTTTTCTTTTTGGTTTTTAAGGCAAAGTCTCATGACAGCTCAGGCTGACCTCCATATGTGATTATCCTGCCTCTGCTTCTCAAATGCTGGGATTACAGGCATGTGCTACCAAACCCAGTCTTGGTATATATTTTTGTGCATGAATGCAGTGTAGATTCTAACACAAGTGTTATTTGTTCAAAGATCATATTACATTTCAAGAATCTCAAGTCATCATCAAAACTGCTTTGAAAAAGAGCATCCTAGTTTGTAAGTTTCATCATTCGCCTATGAAAGCATTAATTCCCAGAACAGTTAACATCAGCAGCTTATATGCACCAAGTACTAGGTATTGTGTATGCATTAGATCAGTTCACCATACACAACATTGTAGATGGATTCCAGTCCTAACACTGCAGTTGAGGGCAGTGAGGTACAGAGAAATAAAGGAGCCCAAGTTCACACAGTTAGAAAGTAGCACAGTTGGAATTCAACTTCGACTGTTTGATCCAGTGTTTTATCAAACATGTCCTTTTTGTTTGGTTTGATTTGGTTTGTATAAGACACTGAGAAAAACATTCTGGTCACACCATTCAACCTACCCAAGGCTGTATATCACCACGCTGCAGACTCTGCAGGATCAATGTGAAACACGCCACCAAGTCTTGATATGAAATCACACCTTGAAAACCAAGTTACACAGAAATCATTTCCACATCTCTACTCATCAAAAGTGTCATTTTAATGACACACACATGAAACAAGGAAAAACCCTGCACTTTTGAAAGGGGGAATTTAAAATTGGGAGGGGAAAAAAAACCAAAAAGACATAGCTCAGACTGGCAAATAACATTTGTAGGAACATTAAAAAAAAAATTTATTCAGGTATATTTTGATAAATGGAAATAGTTACGTTTTACATTTTACTTTATTTTTTTGTGTGTGGGGGTTTCAACACTAGGTTTCTCTGCCTAGTCCTGGCTGTCCTGGAACTCGAACTGTAGATCAGCCTGGTCTCAAACTCAGACATCTGCCTGCTTCTGCTTTCCATGTGCAGATTAAAGACGTGCGCCACCACTGCCCAGCAAGTTTTATATTTTAAAAGGCACGAGAAGCTGGGGTGGTGACACAGACTTTTGTTGTTGGTATTGTTTTTCCTGAGATGATTTCCCTGTGAATATCCGCTGTTCTGGAACTCACTATGTAATCAATCCAGGCTGGCCTTGAACTCAGAGATTCACCTGCCGCTGCCTCCACAGTGCTAGAATTCAGTTCCCAGCACCAACATGGTAGTTCACAACCATCTATAACTAGTTCCAGAGGATCTGAAGCTGCCTTCTGGCCTGTGTAAGCAGGTTGATCTCATGTGGTATACAAACATATTGTAAGCAAAACACCAATACATACAAAATTAAAAAAAAAGAACCTTAAACAAACAAACAAAAGCCCACTTAAGTTATGAAGGACACATACTGCTGCTCATTTTGCACCAAAGCTGTTCAGCAAAATCGAGATCCTCCCGCACTGTGATAAGCACAGACCGGTCAACTGCAGCTGCATCATGGTTCACCGCCTGAAAAAGAAGCAAACTTCAGAGAACACTCAGTTTATTTACTTTTAAAGTGAAAGAGTTTAAGCTTTAAACACTGTTCTGAGAGCTGTGAAGACACAAACACATACAAAGAATACAAATGTTATTTTCCACAGAATTCCATTTACTAATAAGGAGACATACTTGAACAGAGTAAAATAATAGAGTCTTAAAGTTGTTTTAAATCTGTAATGCCTAACCAGACATGGTGGCAGTGCATACCCTAAGACCCAGCACTCAGGAGGCTGAAGCAGAAGTAAAATGAGTTTGAACCTAGCCTGAGCTACATGGCAGAACTGTCTCAAAACAAAAATCAAACATCAAACAAAAACAGCAAAACTATACTGCTTAAAAGTAAGCTTTCAGTTTTGTTTCCACATGAAAATATTGAGTTGCCTTTGTCTCTATCTCCTTTTCACCAGGTGGAAAGTATCTTAGTTTCATAATGGCACATTATGGCATAATAACAGAATTTATGTTGTGTTCCTATACCACAGCAATACTCTCTACAGTGTATTTAACATAACTGTTTCTACTCTCTGTAGCCAAATAACAAAAACAAATACAGGATGGAAGGAGATCTGAGATCTACAAAATGAAAGCTGGCAGTACACCAAAGTTCAAAAGCAGGTTAGGTTACTTTCTTTCTTTTCTTTTCTTTCCTTTTTATTTTTTTTGTAACATTTTCTAATGATTCTTTTATTTTTATTTTATATGTATTGGTGCTTTACCTGCATGAATGTCTGTGTAAGGGTGTCAGATCCTTGAGAACTGGAGTTACAGGCAGTTGTGAGATCTGTTGTATGGGTGCTGGGAATTGAACTAGGGTCCTTTGGAAGAGCAGCTAGTGTTCTGGACCGCTGAGTCATCTCTCCAGCCCACAGGCTAAGATTCTAACTGATAGTCATTGCTTACCTCTTTTTGTGTGTCTTTTTTTGTAGAATCATCAAATTCATCCAGTTTATTTAAGTCTAGAAAGTAGAAAAAGCTCATTAACTTGATTTTATTTTTCTGCTTCCCATATTATTCCCACCCCAATCCTGTTTTCAAGTAGCAAATGTGAGCAGAGGAGTACAGAGGCTGTAGCAAACTACCACTGTGGGAGCCCTCCTACAGCTGGAGTGCAGCACAACACAGGCACGCGGAAGACACCCAAACGGTCCGTCAGTCGTCTACAATCTCAAACCCACCTGTGCTACACGAATGTCCATACAGACAGTTTCTCTTTCTGCAGTCCTGAAGCCTGATCAAATCTAGGGACTCAAGAACAGTTGGCGAGTGCTCTACCACTGAGCTACATCCCAGGCCCTCTTTTTACTCTTGTATTTATTTTGTGACAAAGTCTCACTAAGTTGTCTAGCTTGGCATTGAACTTACTTTGCAGCTCTAGCTAACATATCTCTTGCCTCAATCTCTCAAGCTAGGCTTATAGGCCTGTGCTGCCAGGCTTGGTTCAAACTAAATCTTATAATTTTAATAACATTTATCTTTGATACTTTTAGAACCAAAGCTGTGCCTCCAACTAGATCAGATCACAGCTTTAATGTAGCCTAACTCAAAGCTATATAAAGCCACAAACAACTGATATTTAAATATAGTAAGCATATGCACCCAATTAAAAACAAGGAACAAACAAGAACAGATTATGAAAACAAGCACCATTCAGAAATTCTTGTACAAGTTCAACAGCTGATTTTGTTTCCAGAGGTTCAAGCCATTCAGTTACACCAGTCCTCAAGCCATCAGCCAAAACCTGTAGAACAATTTAACAGCCAGAAAACATGTTAGCAGAAATCATAGCTTAATTAGTAGGGATGTATTTAATAGTATCAATAAGGTAGCAGTTCTTTAAACAAAATTTTTTAGATCTATTTATTTTATTGCTTGTATTGAGTTTTTTTTTTCCCTACATATATATCTGTGCATCACGTAAGTGCTCAGTGCCTCCAGAGTTCAAAAGAGGGCATTGGATAAACTGGAAATGGAGTTACAGGTGGTTATGAGGCACCATGTGGGTACTAGGAATCAAACCCAGGTCCTCTGGAAGAGCAACAAGCGCATCTTAACTGATGAGCCCTCTCTCCAGCCCTATGGTAATGTGTAATGGTTCTTGACTACTGACCAATCACTAGGGATAATGATTTTGTATGTTATTTAAATCTGGACTAAACTTTCTGAGGCAGATACTACTATTATCCTATTTGATTGAGGCTAAGAAAACTTCAGTAACTAGATGAAACTCACACAGTTACTAACAAACAGTACAGGATACACATTCAGTAGGTTGGTAGTCTCAGCTCTAATGCTATGCACACAGTAACGACATGTGATCCTGAGTAAATAAAGATATATTACAGGTGAAGTAACAATCAAACCACACATGTGAAACTGAAAGCAAGTTTATCCAAACACAATATAATTTGCACACACCAAAATCTAAGCCGAGTAGGGAAGGACGAGAGAGATCAGGAGGATGACTCCAGCCAGAGTGGACAAACAGTAGAAAACAGAAGGAAGAGGGCAAATTCATCAAAAGACCAAGAAACTTCACGTTTTTGTTTTGTTTTGTTTTTGCTTCATATGAGAGATCATATCCACCATTCACTCATTTTGTAACATAAAATGACAGGATCAAGTAGTTAATAATTCCTTTATTCCTAGAAAAGAAAAATGTTTTCAACAGAAAAAGAAATCATTTCCTACTTCCAGAGGGTCTATGAAAAAGGTAAAGATATTTTGTTGTTGTTGTTGTTGTTTGTTTTTCGAGACAGGGTTTCTCTGTGTTGCTTTGGAGCCTGTCCTAGAACTAGCTCTTGTAGAACAGGTTGGCCTCGAACTCACAGAGATCCACCTGCCTCTGCCTCCCGAATGCTGGGATTAAAGGCATGTGCCACCATCACCCAGCTGTAAAGATAACTTTTTATGTGTCAAAATAACTTGGTGGAAGTCAGGGATGTTTAACATATTGCTATTTGTAAGATTTTCCAAATCACAAAGAATGGGCCAGTGTGAAATGCCCACAGTGTCTCTATTGAGAAACAATGCATGATCTTGAGGGTGTGTCTGATGGAGGTGAAAGGGCTTTAATTGACTGGGCAGCAAATAAATAAAATATAATTTTAAAAGGCAAAAAAAGAGAGGGGAGAGTCAAAAGGACAAAAGGGAGAGTACAAGGAAAAGAGGACATATATGCATAAGAATAAAATTGTATCCATTTATAAAATTCAAGGATTGAATTTGAAAAGTCTGTGGACACACACACCCTACACATCTGTGAGTCTATGTGTGTGTGTGTGGTGTGTCAGGGGAAAGGATGGCTTAAACATAGTTGCCATATGACCTAGAAATTTCACCAGAGATGCAGAAAACATATGTTACTACAAAAATTTGTATAAATGTTCACAGCAATATTATTCATAATAGTCAAAAAGTACAAAAATATTGGGATGAAAGGATGAATAAGACGCCGTGTTTCTGTACGATGAGATGCTATTAGACAATCAAAACTAACAAAACCTTATTAAGTAGATTAGAAGTTGACAAAGGCTGGCAAGGTTGTGGAGTGAATACTAAACCATACTATGGATACAAGTTTTCATTTAGGACTGATGAAAATGTTTTAAAACTAATTGTGGGGGCTGGAAAGGTGGCTTAATGGTAAGAGCACTGGCTGCTCTTCCAGAGGACCCAGGTTCAATTCCCAGCACTGACATGGCAGTTCACAACTAGGTGTAACTCCAGTTCCAGGGGATACAACACCCTCACAGAGGCATACATGCAGACAAGACACCAATGCACATAAAATAAAAATAAATCTAAAAAAATAAATAGCAACAACAACGAAAACCTAATTGTGGTGATGACTTGTATAATTCTGCCAGCTAAGTAGAAAGGTGAAGAATGTAGGAAGCTACTAAGTGGAGCCCCCTTTCATTTTGAGGACAACTGCCACATGAGTAACTACCCAAGTTGTCTAGAGTATGATGAAATATAACATTCAGAATGGATTTGAAAGAAAATCAAAGTTTCACTGTGAAACATTTTCATGATAATGGGTTTTTTTTTTTTTTTTTTTTTTTTTTTTGGTTTTTGAGACCAGTGTCTCTGTGTAGCTTTGAAGTCTATCCTGGAACTCCCTCTGTAGACCAGGCTGGCCTCCAACTCACAGAGATCTGTCTGCCTCTGCCTCCCAAGTGCTGCGATTAAAGGTGTGCACCACCACCACCACCAGACATGATAATGAGTAATTCAATGAAAGAAATTCCAGAAGGATACTCACAAGGAGAAATTTCAGTTCTCTGTGGAGATGATTCAAACAACCTCTGGGCTCTCCTGATTGTACTCTGATATTCTAAAAAGTATCAAAGACCATCAGTTTTCATTGACAACCCCATCTTCTCTGTCCAAGAGTCACTGTGACTTGCATTTCAATTATATGTTTTATAAAGCACCAGTAAATTAAATCAGGTTTACACCATGCTCAAAACATCTTACCCTGAGATCTTACAGATCGAGTCATTCTGATACACAACCTGAACCAGGCCACTGTACCATGAAGATAGAAAAACTGCCTCCCTCACATGCCTTTCCTCAGGGTATTTCCAAGAGCACAGGTGGAAGAAATTTAAATAAATAGCTCCAAACTTGATACTTAGCATTATGACACATTGAAAATGAAGTTCCAATAAATCACTCTATTAGATTCCTAAGTAAACCAACACACAAGTCTAGCCAAAAGATACAGCTTTACAACCTAAGTCCTTAAAAACAAGTAAGTAAATTCCTACTACAGGAGAAGAAAATACAAATAGAATAATTACCCACAATCCTACTCCCCAAGAGAACCACTGTTAATACTATGCGTAATTCTGGGCATACAATTTTTTTTTTAACAAAACATACTTGACATCCACAGTTGTACATGTTATTGTATATACTTCTTTTTAACTTTTGTTTAGTAAGTATTTCCTGTTTTTTTTAAAATACCCTTCCCTATACTACACAGTCTAGAGATTGAATGTAGGCAAGTACTTTACCTCTGAGCTATATATATCCCCAGCCCTAGATTTTTAAAACATACATTTTCCCTCGGAGACAGGGTTTTTGTGTGTGTTGTGAGTCACCTTGCCTGTCCTAGAATTAGCTGTGTATACTACTCTGGTCTCAAACTCACAGAGATCTGCTTCTCTCTGCCTCCCAAGTGCTGGGATTAAAGGCATGTACCACCATCAGGTCCTGGCAAGACAGAGTTTCTTTATGTGTAGCCTTGGTTGTCCTGGAACTCGCTCTGTAGACCAAACTGGTCTAAAACTCAGAAATCCACCTGCCTCTACCTCTGAGTGTTGGGATTAAAGGTGGCCCTACCACCACCCATTTTTTTTTTTTTTTTTGAGACAGGGTTTCTCTGTGGCTTTGGAGCCTGTCCTGGAACTAGCTCTGTAGACCAGGTTGGTCTCGAACTCACAGAGATCCGCCTGCCTCTGCCTCCCAAGTGCTGGGATTAAAGGCATGCGCCACCATCGCCCGGCCTACCACCCATTTTAAAACATGATTTTTAAAGCCTGCAAAAGAGCCAAACCTGGTGCTGCAGGCCTATAATCCCAGATACTCTGGATGCTAAATCAAGAAGTCACAAATTCAAGGCCCAGTCTGGATTAAGGAACAAGTTTAAGGCCAACCTTAGAAAACTTAAAAAGAGCCTGGGTCTCATTATGTATCCTTGCCTGGCCTGGAACTCCCAGAGAATCTGCTTGATCTGGGATTAAAGGCATGTGCCACTTGTCCTGCCTCATTTTTTCTTTTCAAAGGAAAAAGGGGGGAAAAAAAGGCTTGTATAGACATGAGGGTTCTGTCCTAGTGATATGGTTGAGCAGTTAGGAGCATGTACTGCTCATGTAGAGGTCCTAAGTTAGACTTCCAGCACCAGTGTAGTGATGCTCACAGTCCCCTTTGACTCCAGAACTAGGGGAATCCAACACCTCTGGCATCTGTAGGTGTCTGCACTCACATGTACATACTCATCTTTAAAAATCATTGAAATAAATCCTAAAAGCTGGCTTTCTGGGACAAATGTCAGTGGAAGAATGTCTGCCTATTATGTTCTACACAAGACTTCGAGTCAATCTCCAATATCAAAAATAAATTTAATTTTAAAAGCATATATAGTTTTTCATCATGAAAATCCATTTTCGCCATTATGTTAACTGAATGCTAAGCACATTCTGTTCTTAATACTTTGAGAATTCAGTTATATAACACACCAAGTATTTTACACATAAATTTTTGAGTTTTATTAGCAATTTTAAGTTCTTTTTTTTGAGACAGCATCTCACTATGTAGCTCTGGCTATCTTGGAACTTACTATGTAGACCAGACAGATTGGCCTCAAACTCAACATAGATTCTCCTGCCTCTGTGTTCCAAGAGCTAGGATTAAAGGCTCTGTGCCACTGTGTCCAGGAACAGAAGAAGTCAACTTCCCTTGAGTCCCCACACAAGAGGCCTTAATCATCTCTTGAAAGTAAAATTCCAGAGTAACAGGGTTATAAGTAATTGACAGCACAGCTCACTAGGCAAAACCTTCATTAGTTCTCTGCTGAGACCCTGGGAGCCAGCCAAGGTTTTCTAAATGACAGCCTAACCACCAGTCAATGTCATACAGCATTAGCAATAAACACGTAGACCACTCAGGAGACTGAGAAACTTAAAGAGAAGACAGGTTCATTCCTACCAGAGTTGCAGTGGAAGACAGGGGAGGGGTTTGAAGAATCTCATCCACAGGACTCCAGGAAAGATCCAAAGTGACTGTAGTTTGTGACGGGGTGACAACATCATCCAAGTCAGCGGACTTAAAGAGTTCGTATTGGGCAAATCCTCTGGCTGTTACCTGAAGACAGGTCACAGGAAGATCATTAGCAACAACTTCATATGACCAATCCATTATCAAAACCACCTTGATGTCTGTCCCAAAAGAAAAAAAAAAAGCAATATACATCAAACTGTCATCCCAAATAAAAATATGAGACAATTCTTTTGTTGTTGTTATTTTTGTTTTTCAAGAAGGGGTTTCTCTGTGTAACAGCCCTAGCTGTCCTGGAACTAGCTCTTTTTTTCCCCATCTTTTTTTTTTTTTTTTTTTTTTTTTTTTTTTTTTTGGTTTTTCAAGACAGGGTTTCTCTGTAGCTTTGGTGCCTGTCCCGAACTAGCTCTTGTAGAACAGGCTGGCCTCAGACTCACAGAGATCAGCCTGCCTCTGCCTCCGGAGTGCTGGGATTAAAGGCGGGCGCCACCACCGCCCAGCTAATAAGACAATTCTTTTTTTTTTTTTTAATTATGTCTGTGTGGAGGGCACCAGACCCCATTACAGATGGTTGTGAGCCACCATGTGGTTGCTGGGAATTGAACTAAGGACCTTTGGAAGAGCAGGCAATGCTCTTAACCTCTGAGCCATCTCTCCAGTCCAAGACAATTCTTTTAAGCAACAAATATTGTACATATATATTATGTGGGTATTCTGTCTAAGGAGTCTGCCAACCTTGAATCTCAAGCACACAGATTTTAGTGCTTCAGCATGATTCTAGAGCCAACTCAAAGATACCAAAGAATAGCTGTGCCCTGGCTGATATAAAAATAAATACAAATACTCTGGCACTAGAGAAACGTCTAGTCATAGTGAGAAGAAAGCTGTTATGCTAGGAAGACAGATCAATCGAGCTCTGTGTAGGTAGATAACAAGACAAATACTCACAGCAGACAAGTGATGTCTTTTCTTGTGTGAATTTTTTAGATTTTCCAGATCTTCAGAGTAATTTTTGTCAGCTACAAAACATGAAATGAAAAAAAAGGAAAGATTTAATTCTAAATTATAAAATTATATTGGGCAGTGGTAACTCAGACCTTTAATTCCAGTACCTAAGAGGACAGCTTGGTCTATAGAGGGAGTTCCAAGATAACCGTTGTTACCTATAGTGAGATCTTGTTTCAAAACAAACAAACACCTGGTGTAGGTCCTTCTGTTTGTGTGTTGCTTTCATTGGTTAATGGTTTGGGCCTGATAGGGCAGAACTTAGGTAGGCAGAGAAGACAGAACTAAATGCTGATGTTGAAATTGGAGCGGCAGCGGGGCTGCGTCCCCAGCACCCCGGCCGCTTGGCTAGCTTATGCCCGAAATAACAACACACAAACTGTATTCATTTAACTGCTTGACCCATTTCTCTCTAGCCTCTTCTAGGCTAACTCTCGCACCTGGACTAGCCCATTTCTAATGATGTGTGTAAGCACCCAAGGTGCACTTACCGGGAAGAGTCTAGCCTCCATCCATCCTGGTGTCTCTGCTCCAGAGAGCAGAGCTGTCTGGTCTCTCCGGGAGCAGAGCAGAGTCTGACCTCACTTCCTCTTCCGCCCAGCATCCTATTCTGTTTATTCCTCCCACCAATGCTTTAACCTATCAGGGCCAAGCAGTTTCTTTATTGCTCAGCCAATGAAATCAACAGATTGATATATGACACTCCCACATCATGCTGAGAGGAAGAAAGCAGAGTGAGGGAGAAGTGTGGATTCTCCACCTAAGAGGGACGTTGGTTAGAATCTTTCCCTGGTAAGCCACTGCCACATGGCACTATACAGATTAATAGATATGGGTTAAATCAAGATGTGAGAGTTAGCCAATAAGAGGCTAGAGATAATGGGCCAAGCAGTGATTTAATTAATACAATCTGTGTGGTTATTTTGGTGCTAAGCTAGCCAGGCAGCCGGGACAAACAAGCGGCTCCTCCCCTTGCAACAAACACTCAAACCCAAAACAAAGTGTTAAATAGAGAAAGAAAGGGGAGTTGGTTGGGTGAGTGGCAGGGGAGGGGGAAGGTCTGTTCTGGGAGGAGTTGGGGGAGGTGAAACTATTATAAGAATATATTACATGAGCCGGGAGGTGGTGGCGCACGCCTTTAATCCCAGCACTCGGGAGGCAAAGGCAGGCGAATCTCTGTGAGTTCGAGGCCAGCCTGGTCTACAAGAGCTAGTTCCAGGACAGGCACCAAAAGCTACAGAGAAACCCTGTCTCAGAAAAAAAAAAAAATCAATTGGAGGGTGAAGCGGGAGTCTCACTGAGTCCACAAGTTTAAGACTAGCCTGCAAAGAACTCAAATTAACACACACACACACACACACACACACACACACACACACCAAACACAAAACAAAAATAGTCTGGGTGGTGGTATTCAGATAGAATTACAGACGTTAAAGCAGAAAATATTAAGTTCAAGGCCAACCTTGACTCAATCCGCCCCTTCCAAAAAGGCAAAAATAGGATTATATTCTAGTTATACTCTGGTTTTTAATCTTGAACAGTAAAAAAAAGTACAAATTAAATTAAACCTAAACAAAGCATCAGAGTATGTCGAGACGTTCAGGAGTTCTGACCTCCTCCCTGATGATAAGCACAAACTCAATGCTCCACATTACACTTCCCTCCTACATGAAAGCTCAGGAATACCACGAAACAACTATGCGAATAAACATACCAAGACTGAGCACTCACCTTTACAAGTGACCACATATAAGACAACTCCTGTAATGATGTCATTTGCTGTCATGAGCTCAGCTCCTAGCCAACAGGTACCTTCAGGATCTGAACTGTCACATCTCACCCAAAGAGGAGGAAGGGCAGTAACTGGCTGCTTAATCTTCAAATGGGTCATATTCGGATTGTGAGCCATGGTGTAAAGCCCAATTAGCTGTCTTGAAAACAACAGACAGGAGAACTAATTATAAAAAACCAATCACATGCTATCTTTGAAGCTGAAAGTGTGGCCCAGTGGTAGAGCACAACCTCAGTACCACCCCATGCCCTACTTTTCTATTTTTTAATTTAAAAAAGATAAGTGAAAGGTCTCATAGTCAACAATCTAGAAATGAAGTGAAAAAATGGATGAATACATGTATATTTACATACTTCAGCAAGGATAGGTTATACTATATACTCTAGTAGTTCTAAGTCTAGAGAGATGGCTCAGAAGTTAAAAACGTACTGCTCTTGCAAAGGACCAGAGTCCAGCTCCCAGCACCCACATTCAGTGGCTTAGATTTGCCTGTAAATCCAGCACCAGGGGATTCAATATGCCTGGCATCTGCAGAGACCGAAAACACACATACCCTACTCTTATCAACACACGCTCCAGCATAATTAAAAAATAGTTTTAAAGTTATGTACATTGGGCATAAAAATAACAGTTATATGGTATACATATATATGTACCATATACTGCTTTGTATATATAAATCTGTATTGGTTGAACGAGAAAAATGACAGCGAGGTGGTGGTGGCACAAGCCCTTAATCCCAGCACTCGGGAGGCAGAAGCAGGCAGATCTCTTTGAGTTTGAGGCCAGTCTGTTCTACAGAGCAACTTCTAGGACAGGCTCCAAAGCTAGAGAAACCGTGTATAAAAAAAAAAAAGGAGGGGGGGCTGGAGAAGTGGCTCAGAGCTTAAGAGCATTGACTGTTCTTCCAGAGGTCCTGAGTTCAATTCCCCGCAACCACATGGTGGTTCACAACCATCTGTAATGAGATCTGGTGCCCTCTTCTGGTGTGCAGGCATACATGCAGACAAAACACTGTATACATAAAAAAAAAATCTTTGAAAAAGAAGAGAAAAATGATAATGTAGACATATCAAAACATGAACAACTGGCAAATGTGCATAAAGGTACAGAGAAGTCTCTATACCACTCAAAATTAAAAGTCAACTAAAAATGAAGCTTAAACTTCTATTTTTCAAGAGAAAGAAACATTTACTATTAGATATTCAAAAAGGAAATTTGTAAGGCATTGGACTTTAAGAAGTAAGCACAAAATCTTAAGACAGTAGTATGAAAGGCATGAAGAAACAGAAAACCAAGAAACCATAGGGCCAGGAGACGGCTCAGTTGATAAACATGCTTGCCTTGCAAACATAAGAACCCGAGTTCCATCTCCAGAACCCATGTTAAACACACGTACACACACATGGGACTGGAAAGCTTATGGGTTAAGAGCACTTGTTGCTCTGTCAGAGGATCTGAGTTGATTCCCAGAGGTCATGTCCTGTAGTTCATAACTGCTTTTAATTCCAGTTCCAGTGGCATCTGACTACCTCTTGAACTCCACAGGGATCCACATGCATGTGGCATATACATACATATATGTTATGTGTGTGTATATATATATTAAAAATATAAATAGAAACAAAAGTTGGGTGTGGGTGATTTGTGCACTTTTTAATCCCAGCACTGGAGAGGGGAAAAACAGGAGGATTCTGGAAACAGGTCAGTTCTCCTAGCCAATTTGTCAAATTCTAGGCCATAAAAGGCCCTGGACTACATTTAAGAAACAGCACTTGAAGTTGTTGTCTGGCCTGCATATCCATGGGTATTTCTTCCCACATGAACACGCACACACTCACAAATAACCCAAACATATTAGCAGAAGAAAACAAAATAATGTTTAAGACCTAGGGAACAGAGAAAACAGGCCATGTTATGACTATAGCCCAAAATAATCTGGGAAAAAAACTTATTAACCAGCATAAAAAGTTTATAAACTTTTTCTTTCCTTTCCTTCCTCCCCTCCCCCCCTATTTTTCCAGACAGGGTTTGTTTCTCTGTGTAACCTTGGCTATCCTGGAACTCTATAAAGCAGACTGGCCTCAAACTCACAGAAATTCACTCTGCCTCTGCCTCCCAGGTGCTAGGATTAAAGGTGTGAGTTATACACTTCTATGTGTGTGGGTAAAATCTAGCATAAAGACATATTATTATGGTGATCAGTTCCAGCACTTGTTGCTCCTAACTCCAGATTCTTAGGACTCTATCCTCTAGAATTCCTTGAAGGCAAAGACTTCGGTTTGCAGGTAGCAAGGGGCTGGCACAACATATGTACACAGCAGGAAAGCAAGAAAGAAAACTTAAAAGGTAAACAAGCATATTCTGGACGCACACTGATTTCTTAGACATTATAATTCATGCTGTGTAGGACAGGTGCCTAGGATATACCCAGAGCTATATATTGTGACACCTAAAAACATTCCTGAATAGTTTGAATGCCAACTTAGTAGCACCCCCTGATGGAAAACCTCTGGAGTTAGAAAAATGAAGGCTCCTGTGTATCAAGCATGGATTTAACCATGAACACAATGAAGAACCTATACAGGATTTTTAAGTACTGAAGCAATACAACCATGCTTTTTTTTAAAAAAAAAAAAAAAAAACATCTAATTTTAAAAAGATAACTCTGGTAGTAGGGAAAAAGAGAAACTGGGCTAGATTCAAAGCAAACAATTAGGAAGCCACAGAAATAGACTAGCAGAGTGGGATGGAAAAGGGGAAGGTGAATGCAGCCTTATTACTTTATTATGTATACAATATTCTGTCTGCGTGTATGCCTGAAGGCCAGAAGAGGGCACCAGACCTCGTTACAGATGGCTGTGAGCCACCATGTGGTTGCCGGGAATTGAACTCAGGACCTTTGGAAGAGCAGGCAATGCTCTTAACCACTGAGCCATCTCTCCAGCCCCTAGGTGCAGTTTTTCAATGTCTGTAAGAGTGGTGAAAGTTACCGTTTTTTTTTTTTCCTTTTGAGTAAGGGTCTCATGTAGCCAAGTCTACTGAAAACTTATTTAGTAGTAAAGGATGACCTTGAAATTCTGACCCTCCTCCTGTCTCCCAAGTGCTATAATTAAAGGTGTGTCACCATTTGTGGTTTTATCCAATGCTGGGGCTCAAATCTAGGGCTCCACATATGCTAATCAAATAGTCTACACACAGAGCTACCCAACAATGTTTCAATTTAAATCCTCTCTTCTATTTCTAAGACAAACAAAAAACTTACCTTGCTCTCCCAACTGGCAAGGCCAGTGGCCTAACACTTTCACCAGTAGAGAAATCAGAAATAGCAGTTTCTTCAGCCTGTGGTTCTTCAACATGACTTGTTTCTTCCTTCTCCAAAAGCTTTAAAAAAATGTTATAATTTAATCAGATCCAAGAATCAATTCTTTCCTGTGCTAGGAAATAACTACACAGGATGCTGAAGAGATGGCTCAGTATTTAAGAGCACTGACACTGGAGTTATACCCAGTTGTGATCTACCACGTGGATGCTGCAAACCAAACCCAGTTCCTCCTAACGAGGGAGCCATCTCTCCAGCTCCCAAAGATATTGATTGTAGTTGCTACTTGTAAAGGAAGCACCTGATGACATTAGAAAAATGCTCTAACATGCACAGTATGATAAGCTAAAGATAAAACACCACGAGAGAGCCCCAGATATTTAGATATTTTCATTTCCTAACTGGAACAAACTGCTTGTGGGATATGCGCTTAGAGTAAACAGCCCTCAATTTTACCTTTTATTTATTTATTTATTTGGACACAAGGTCCACATGCTGGGATCACAGGTGTATAGTACCACACCCAGCCATAGGCCTCATTTTTTTCTGTTTGTTTTTCGAGACAGGGTTTCTCTTTGTAGCTCTGGCTGTCCTGAAACTCACTTTGCAGATCAGGCTGGCCTCAAACTCAGAGATTCTCCTACCTCTGACTCCTGTTGGGGTTAGAAGTGTGCATAACACCACTGCCTGACTTAGCTCTCACTTTTTTTACCTGGCTGTCCTGAACTCTATTTGTAGACCAGGCCAACCTTAAACTCTGAGATTTTCCTGCCTCTGTCTCCCGAATGCTGGGATTAAAGGCGTGCACCACAACCGCCTGGCTTTAGGTCTCACTTTTTAAAAAAATTTGCATTTTATGTTTATTGGTGTTTCGCCCACATGTATGTCTCTATGAGGGTATACAATCCCCTGAAACAGGAGCCACAGACAGTTGTGAGCTGCCACATGGGTGCTGGGAATTGGACCTGGGTCCTCCAGAAGAGTAGATAGTGCTAGTAAACACTAAGCCATCTCTCCAGACCCTAGCCTTCACTTTTTTGGGGGGGAAGTGAGGAGGGTGTTTCAAGACAGGGCTTCTCTGTACAACAGCCCTGGCTGTCCCTGGAGTTCTCTTTGTTGACCAGGCTGGCCTTAAACTCACTGAGATCTGCCCACCTCTGCCTCCCAAGTGCTGGGATTAAAGACATGTACCACCATCAACTGGCTGCTAGCCCTCACTTTTTACACGTATTGTTTTTAGGACTGTCAGTTCTCACTTGTTACAGGATCTAATAGCTATGTCTGTACGGTGGTTACATAACTTTGGTTTTGACAACAATGACAGTAAGAGTATTTCCTGAGTATTAGTGTATTTTAGGCACCATTTTAATTTCCCCATTATTATCCATAAAAATCATGAGCTAGACACTATTAGTATCATTGTTTTATAGATGGAAAAAAACTGAAATTAACAAAAAACTAAATCACTTGCCAGAACCACATAGCTACTAAATGGGGGCGGGGAGATTACCATTTGACCTAGATGTGCACACACAAAAAACAATACAGGAGTAATTATAGCAGTTCTTAGTTCATGTATGGATGCTTTGCCAGCATGTATGTCTGTGCATTAAGGGTGCACAGTGCCCATGATTGCCAAAAGAGGGAGCCAGATCTCCTGGAACTAGGGTTATGGAAGGTTGTGAGCTGCCATGTGGATGCTGGTATCTGAACCTAGGTCCTCTGTACTCTTAACTGGCTATCGATATTTTGCCGTCTGAAGGCATCATGGGTCACCAGCAGCTCTACTGGAGTCACCCGCAGAAGTTCAGCCAGGGTTCTTGCTCCTGCCACATCTGCTCTAACCACCATGGTCTGATCTGGAAATATGGGCTGAACATGTGTCTCAGTGTTTCCTTCAGTACACGAAGGACCTAGGCTTTATTAAGTTGTACTAAGTGACCTTGAATGGATTTTTCAAGACTGTCTACCCAGTGAAACAGATCATGCTAGCCTTTGTACGAATAAAAAAAAAAGTGAAGACCTTCAAAAAAAATAAATAAAAAAGCACAACTGAGCTATTTCTCTGGCTCTTACAGTAGTTCTATAAATAAAAGCCAAAGACCAAGACCAACCCAAATGCCCTTCAAGCATCAAACTGTGGCATATCCATACCATGGAATACACATAGGAGTAACTTACAAAAGGGATTATTAATGTGTTGAATGGGCTTGAATGATTGATACTTTTATTTGTTCTTTGTTTCGTTTGTTTCTGAGATGAAGGGGAGGTCTCACTATGTAGCCCTGGCTGTCTTGGAATGAATTATGTAGACTGGGCCAGCCTTGAATACTCAGAGATTCACCTGTCTTTGCTTTCCAGAGTGCTGGGATTAAAGGCGTTTGCCACCGTGCCTAGTTTTGTTTTTTTCTTAATGAATCTATTCTAAAAGTATGATTATGTATTTATCTGTGGTTGGCATTACATTTCCAGTAGAGAGCACCATGCTTACTCATAAAAGAATTAGTGTCCACTTTCATTAATGCTGACGGGAAAACATGTAGTATGAGAGCATTCCCAAAGAAACAAATGTGGCTTCTAAGCACGAACCGCAAAGCCCAATACTTACCGCTTTTTCCACAAGGAACACTGATCTGTTCTCATTTAGAAGAGTTTTCAGAAGATCTGGCTGGGCTTTGCTGATCAGCTGCACTTGCACATCAGCCTGTTAAAAACAGATTGCAGTGTTTTGTGTGATTTAAGTGCTACAGACCAGCTGCATGCAAATTACTAAAAAAAAAAAAAACATGTTTTCAAAAGTTTTCCTTATTTTGTCAAGTTGTTTCTCATTTTTAGAAAATCTAGTTTATGGATTGGGGGATCTGTCAGCGTGTGAACTGTTTGTTGCTCAAGCATGAGGGCCTCAGCTCACTCCTTAGTACCCTCGTAAAGATGAGCACAAGGGCATCTATAACCCCAGCATTCGGGAGGCAGAGACCGGAGACCCTCTGGAGCTTGTTGGCCCATCAGTATAGCCAAGTAAGAAGTTCTAGATCAAGTGGGAGACCCAGTCACAAAATAACTAAGGGGGACTGCAACTGAGAAGGACACCCGACATTGACCTATGGCCTTGACATGTACCCAGAGGCACACGTGTATGCACATACACAAGAAAATCCAGCTTTTATCTGCCACCTGTCCACATTTCAAAGCTCACCTGAAGATGTGCTGCCCTGAAAAGCCCTCTTTGCTACACAGTGGGAACGCGCCTCAAACAGACAGAAAGAAAGAACCAAAGCCAAGAAACCACATTATTTTATTTAGTGACGTTCTGGAAATGGCAAAACTATGGAGACAGAAAACAAATTAGTAGTGGCAGGTACTAGAGACATATGAAAATGCTCATACAGAGACATGAGCACGTTTTTAGACAGGAAATAGTCTACATTTTGATAACGGGAGTAGCTGCACTTTTGAAGCTATTTGTCAAAATTCATAGAACTATCTCCTAAAAGGGTAAAATTTAGCATATATAAATTAATTTTTTTTAAAAAAAACTTTGATTTTAGAATGATTATGTTCAAAACCAAATAAATTGCTCATACCTCATAGATGAATGGGTCTTTACAGACTCCTTTCTTTTCTTCATTAAGTTCCCTGAAACACAAAACAGAGATCTGGAGGATCAGCCTTATTATTTAAACTGAGAAATTAGCTGGTGCATTATTTACGCACCAGTGGAAAAGCTTAGTCCTTACACAGCTCTGAGGATAGCTGCAGAAGGGGAAACAATTAGGTTAAGGAAAGGTAAAGGAAGGTTAGGTAAGGTGGGGCATGCCTTTAATCCCAGCAAAGTGCCAGGCCAGCCAGGGACACATAGTGAGATTGTATCGGAACAAAGTTTTTTGTTTGTTTGGTTTGGTTTTTTTTTTTTGGGGGGGGGGGGTTGTGTGTAGGCATGGGTAAGGTGGCTAGAGATAGCTAAGGAGTTAAACAAATATTGCTCCTGCAGAGGACCTGAGTTCAGATCCAAGCAACCAAATGATGGCTCACAACCTTATCTCCAGTTCCACGGGGTCTGACACCCTTTTCTGCCCTCTGCAGGCACCAGGTACGAACCAGTGCACATACTTACATGCAGACAAAGCATACACATAAATTAAGTAAATCAAAGAAATTTTTGAGTGCCGGGCGGTGGTGGTGTACACCTTTAATTCCAGCAGTCCCAGTCAGGAGGCAGAAACAGGTGGCTCTCTGTGAGTTCAAGGTCAGTCTGGGGGAATTCCAGGATAAGCTGCAAAGCTATAGAAAAACCATGTTTTGAAAAACCAAAGGAAAAAAAAAGCAGAAATAAATTTTGATTATGTGTGTATGTAAGGGGAATGGGTAATGCATGTATGAGCGCAGGTGCCCAAGATGGCATTGCCCTGGCACTGGAGTTAAAGGTAACTGTGAGCTGCTTGCTATGGACACTGGAAACCAAACTCCGGTCCTCTAGAAGACTCGTAAGTGCTCTTAGCCCCTGAGGCATCCCAAAAATTTTTTAAAAAAGGGTGGGGGCTTGAGGGATAGCTTAGAGGTTAAGAGCACTGGTTGATCTTCCAGAAGTCCTGAGTTCAATTCCCAGCAACCACATGGTGGCTCACAACCATTTACAATAGGAGCTGATGCCTTATTCTGTCATTCAGGCATATATGCAAATAGAGCACTCATATGCACAAATAAATAAATCTTTGGAAATAAAAGATTTGCTATTTTAATGATTTAGTGGGTGTGTCCATGCATGTAACTGCAGCGCATGGAAGAAGGCACTGGTCCCTCCCACCAGTTAGAGTTGCATGCAGCTGTGAGGCACCATAAGTGGTGTCTGAACTAACTGCTCAGCCCTGTTTCATAAGATATTTAATAGTCATATCAAAGCACATAAATTATAAGCCATTAGCAGACTCAAATGAAATACCAAATGCATACCCAGCCTGATCGACAGGGAAAAGAAGCTGCAGTTACTGAAAAGCCTAACAGTTATCTCAGGATAAGATTTGTAGCTTTTGATCTGATACTTGACCTAACTGATCTAGGAACACGAAAACAGTCCTGATAGACTAATTTTTGTTATATTGTAAAAGACTTTTATTTTTTATTTTATTTATTTATTTGATTTTTCGAGATAGGGTTTCTCTGTAGCTTTAGAGCCTGTCCTGGAACTAGCTCTTGTAGACCAGGCTGGCCTCGAACTCACAGAGATCCACCTGCCTCTGCCTCCCAAGTACTGGGATTAAAGGCGTGCGCCACCACTCCCAGGGTTATTTATTTTTATATATTTATTTTTAGAGACAGGGTTTCTTTGTATAAGTCTTGACTGTCCTGGAACTAGTTCTGTAAACCAGGCTGGCCTCTGCCTCCCAAGTACTGGGATGAAAGGCATGTGCCAGCTGTTTTTTGTTTCTTATTATACTTATTTATACATGTGCATGTGTATGTGAGTGTGGGGATGTGTGCTTGCTAAAGTCAGAGGACAGCTTGCGGGATATTTTCTCCTCCCACTATGAGGGTCCCATGCTAAGATGTTTGGTGGCAAGTGTCTTTACCTCTGAACCATCTCTCTGTTCCAAGATTGTGAATTTCTCTTAAAAATGGTTGTCCTTTACATATGATTCAATAATATTGCTTGGTCATTCAGCAACTGTTTCTCAAGATTGATTGATTGATTGATTGATTGATTGATTTATTATGTATACAATGTTCTGTCTGTATGTCTGCAGGCCAGAAGAGGGCACCAGACCTCATTACAGATGGTTGTGAGCCACCATGTGGTTGCTGGGAATTGAACTCAGGACCTTTGGAAGAGCAGGCAATGCTCTTAACCACTGAGCCATCTCTCCAGCCCCTTCTCAAGCATTCTTGCTAGATACTGGGACTAGCAAACAAAACCAGCTGCGACAGGAATCCAAAGAGTAAACTGTCAATTATGGGGTACCAAGAACTCTGGGAGGAAATACTTGTGAATGACTTGTAGCTTTTTAGAAACATGATAATGGCCCCACGTACAACAATGTGGGCAAGAACAAGGAGACTGGGATCAATGATAGAACACTTGTCCAGCATCACAAGCCCAACCCACCTGCAATCCTCAGTGTATAAATAAAACAAGAGAGATGGTGGGGAGGTTGGGAAAGGAGAAAAGAAGGAAGTTGGAGTCTTAGATTTAGAACTCTTGAGAATAATTCTGGAGTTAAATGCCACATCGGAAAGAAAACACCCAGGAAATAAGCAGTAAGCCAATAGATCTAGATAAATTTTCATCCGTGGGGGTGATAAAACAGGCATAAAATAACTACAGAGGCTAGGGACATAACTCAGGTGTAAGAGTGCTTGCCTAGGCCAGGTGGTGATGGCACATGCCTTTAATCCCAGTACTTGGGAGGCAGAGGCAGGGAGATCTCTGTGAGTTCAAGGCCAGCCTGGTCTACAAAAGTTAGTTCTAGGATAGGTACCAAAGCTACATAGAGAAACCCTGTCTCGAAAAAACACAAAAAGAATGCATGCCTAACTTGTGTGAAGCCCTGGATTCTGTTCCTAGAATCTCAAAAATTGTGCATAATGGTACATGCCTATAATGACAGCACCCTGGAGATGGAGGCAGGATGGTTAGCAGTCCAAACTCATCCTTGGCTTGGAGGCCAGCCTGGGCTACGTGAGACCTTAGATTTAAAACAACACTTAACCTCATGGCAGAAATACCACAAGAGTTAAAAACAACTGAAGTTCCTGCACATTCACAGACACCACTAGCTTCGCTAAAAACATTAGCTCTTAACTAGGCAGTGGTGGCCACACCTTTAATCCCAGCATTTGGGAGGCAGACAGGTAGATATCTGATTTGGAGGCAAGCCTGGTCTACAGAGAGTTTCAGGACAGCCAGGGCTACACAGAAAAACACCATCTCAAACAGCAACAACAAAAACCACTAGTTCTCCCCCTATAATGTAAAAGTATTTTACAAGCATTACTGCTTTCGTAAGCAGGAAGAGAAGCAATAATGGCAGTTAAAAATTATAGCATTTAAGAAGTACTGTGCTATACCCAGCCAGCAACACCCTGAGCCTAGAATTTAAAAAGGTAAACTTCTGGTCTCATTTCAGACCCATTAGTCAAAAATCTTGGGGGCAGAACCCATAAATCTGTATTTTCACAATCCTCCAGGGTGATTCTGATGCAGGATCAGTTGTGAGTCACTCCTCGATTTTGATACAGGATGAAGACTTGACAGAATCCTCTTGTAGCTATATTTCACTAAAGGAACAACGTGAATTCTGGCATGGTGGCCCACGCCCCTAATCTGAGCATCAGGAGGCTGGCCAGGAGGGTCACTGCGAATTCGAGGTGACTTTCTGTCTAGTTTAGGCTAGAGTTGAGACCCCTGTCTCAAGAAAACCACGAAAACAGCGAAACAGCATGCTTTTTAAAGCCAGCCCACGGCCAAATGTAGCTCATACGGTCAATAGAAGAGACAGGACAACCACACATTTCTTTTTCAGTAGTCAGCCAAAGCTTAAGACAGGAGGATGCCATCTACTTCTCTGTATCCAGGGAGCCTCTATTTAGAAGTGTGTGCATGAGCAAGATGAGTAAATTGACTTGTCACCTTGTCCCTCTTGCTCAAGTACTGATGTTTCCTCGAGAGACTAGCAGCGACGTAGGCTTCAGCAGAGTCTAACTCACTGCACAGCCAAGACCCGCCCTCTCCTATCCCGGACCCAAGCAAAGCAGGCAGGGCGCAAAGCCGTCAGCTGTGGCGAGACTCGGGCGGGAGGAACAAGTTGCCATTCCATTTCTCAACGACAACTCACTGGAGAAGACGAGCATAAAACTCCTCAGCCGCGCAATTCATTCGCGCCCACATCCCCACACCGACCTCGGTCCAGTCCGGAGCAGCAAAACTGAAACGCGCGCCCCGACACTGACGTCAGAGGCCATGACCCCGCCCCGCCGGAACTACTTTACAACATTAAGTTCATTCGTGCTCAACGTTAAAACATTGTTTGAATTTATTAGAGCATCCCGTCACATTTACTGTTCCAATAGACTCCCATTTCTGTCAGGAAGAAAAAAAGAAGATAAAATAGATGTTGTGATTGAGGGGCGGTCAAGAAACCACATCTCGCGAGAGTTGTGTCGAGTTACGAATTATTCCGCGAAAAGGAGTCCCTCTTTTCTAACCATTCTTTTTAGTTTTAAAAAGAATAGATACAAATATTAACACACGTAAAGTAATAATATGATCTTTTGAAAATTTTAAGTGTAGTAGTGAGATACTTTGGTTCTCCCAGTTGGTTTTGAGGCGGGGCAGGGTGAGGGAGCCAAGTGGAAGGATATATGTGGCGACTAAGCGGTGAGTCCTTCCTTTTCCTGTGGGAGCAGCCGGGTTGAGAGGAGCGTGGCTCTCTCCTCTCCCCGTCATGGTGAGTGGAAGTCTACTTCGCTCGGCTTTCCCGTGGTTTCTGGGGCTTATGGGGGAGAGGAAAGGGATCGGGACATGGGATCGGCAGGAGAGGAAGAGCTAGGAAGAAGACCTAACACCTTTTCTTGGCAGAGAGCTGGGTTGTGGGCGCTGTGGCAGCCATCTTAGAGCAACGTGGGAGACAGAGCAGGGTGGACGATAGAGGGACTTTTGGGATCCTCGCTTTCCGTAGTTCTAGGGGAAAAAAGACCACTGGAAACCGAGCCTTTTAGTGCCGGAGACACTCCCGACGGGCGGACGGCGTGGCCTTGGCACATGGTGTGCTTGCTGTCCAGTGTGTGCATGTGAATTAGTATGTCCGCCTCTAAGGAAGGGGCCGAGGGAAATTAGTATTAATGCTCTTGAGGGGTTGTCCCTGCCTTTTTGAAATCGTTTTTAGAAAAGCAAGGTCTTCATCGCTTAAGAAGTTGGGTTTTTATTTCATGTAACCTAAGTGGCTTGAGCCCTGGGCTTGTTCACATACAACTGTAGTTAAATATATTACTTTTCCGCAAATGTGCCCTGTGCTATCCTTTATCCTTAATGCATGGATTAGGGTTGGTCTGACTACCGTAAATTAGGATTTGGAGACGTGGCTGAGCTTCATTTTAAAATTGGCTAGATAGGTTGGCTTAGTAGTTGAGAAATTAGAGGGAGAGAGGAAGGAAAAAGAGGTCCCGAGTCTGAGAAGATCTGCAAGAGCGAATAGGAGCCAGGTCAAAGAGAAGTGGACAGGTAGGTGGCTTGGGCCAGCCTCCGGTGAGGCGAATACGAACCGTGTGACCTGTTTATCTGAGTCTGAACAGGGGACTGAAAGAGATGAGAGGGGAACAGGAAGGGTTTGCTCAAGCTGAGGGCTGGTAGAGTGAACACGGTCTCACTGAACAATACCTTCAGACTTTATTGAGAAATTTTGCTTTGAAGTTTTCTATTTTAAAAATATGACAGATCTTGATGTTTCTGTTAGGGCATTTTGTTTAGTTCCTGTATTGATTGACCCCCCGTTTCTCAACACCTGCCTCTCTGGTCCCCAGCTCTTCCCGAGTGGTCCTATATCTGCTTTGCACATTTTAAAATATGATTTTAAATCTAGGTTCCAAATACAGGAAATTATTCTGGCTGTGTCTGACTTATCTTGTTCTCTCCAAGGCTTGTGCCCGTCCCCTCATATCGGTGTACTCTGAAAAGGGGGAGTCATCTGGCAAGAATGTCACTTTGCCAGCTGTCTTCAAAGCTCCCATTCGACCGGATATTGTGAACTTTGTTCACACCAACTTGAGGAAAAACAACAGGCAGCCCTATGCCGTCAGTGAATTAGCAGGTATGGGTTTACATTTGTTATGGGCAGGGCTCCTTTGCAGTGGGTGATGAAATGCCATTGGTCCGTGTTTCTGAACCATGTGATTTTCCATGGCTATTCTGATACTGCCTTTGCCCTTCATAAAGGAGGTCGTGGGTTGTTATGGCTTAGTGCTTAAAATTTATTTCTTTTCAATTTTAGGTCATCAGACCAGTGCTGAGTCTTGGGGTACTGGCAGAGCTGTGGCTCGAATTCCCAGAGTTCGAGGTGGTGGTACCCACCGTTCTGGCCAGGGTGCCTTTGGAAATGTATCCTCTTTTTCTATTGCCAATTAACTGGCTGGACTTAGACTTGATTCATTAATATTTAATACTATTTTGAGTCATGTCTAAAACTACTAGTGTCCTCAAGCAGATCCTCTAGACAAATATCTGGAGATGTTTCTGGGGGGTACTTGCTATGATGTCGTAATTTGCGTCTTACTCTGTTCATGGCGACAGTTGCCTGCTGTCAGTAAGCTGGTTCAGAAGGTTGACGAAAGTTGTTACTGAGCAAGTCATAACCTTACTAATTCTTCAGACCTGAAAAAAGATAGTTCAATTCTTGACAAAGAAAACAGATGTGTCGGGGAGGCCGCATGTTTGCACCAACCAAAACCTGGCGTCGTTGGCATCGCCGAGTGAACACAACCCAAAAGCGATATGCCATCTGTTCTGCGCTGGCTGCCTCAGCCTTACCAGCCTTGGTGATGTCTAAAGGTCTGTGATGCATTGATACAGGATGTTTAACTTACTGTACACTGAAACCTGTTGGGTGATCAGCCTGTGTGGATTCTTTTCCTCTCAGTGCCTACTAAAAGCAATTCTGCTTGCTTCAATCTAGCGAGCCCTTGATTGTAGTTCGCATCAAATTCCTACCATGTTTTTGACTGTCAGAATGATGAAACTATTTAATTGGTCCGTGTTTCTGAAACACATGATATTAGTGGAAATTTCTGACTTGACAGTGCATGTTGTTTGTTTTGGGCTGTGTGTAAAGAGTTGAGACTTTACTAAGTATTGACTTGGTTTTGTTAGGTCATCGTATTGAGGAAGTTCCTGAGCTCCCTTTGGTAGTTGAAGATAAGGTTGAAGGTTACAAGAAGACCAAGGAGGCTGTTCAGCTGCTTAAGAAACTTAAAGCTTGGAATGACATCAAAAAGGTAGGTTCAGTGTGCACACTTACCATTTGATACTGTCAGGTTTTGGTTAAAAGGAACCTTTAGGGTGGGTGGTGGTCAGCTTTCAGTTAAGATTGGATATGGATCATAGAAGTCTGAAAGCTCCACAGATGGGGTAGTTGTTTTAACAAATCTTTAGGTAACATCATGTTTCTAGTACAATGTCGATTTGATTTGTGATATTTTTCACGTTTATCACTTGTGTATGTGTGAGAGGACAACATGGAGTTACTCTGTTTCCGTTATTTTCTTACGGAAAGGACTTGATACAGTGCAGTTTTACTTGCAATGATGTTGTAATTTGCGTCCTACTCTGTTTTCAGTGACAGTTGCCTGCTGTCAGTAAGCTGATTCAGAAGGTTGACGAAAATTGTTACTGAGCAAGTCATTTTCTTTAGTGACTGGTATGAAATACTAACAAAGAATAGTCCTAGGGATCAAGCCTCATAGGGCTTGGCTGAAAGTGCCATTACTTGCTTGAGACATCTATACCTCTCTTGCCTGTTTTTTTTGTTCTTGTTTTTTAATTGAAGATATGCTGGAAAGGTTATACCTTAGACTAACTACTAAAGCTACTTACTCTTGTAGGTCTATGCCTCTCAGAGAATGAGAGCTGGCAAAGGCAAAATGAGAAACCGACGACGTATCCAGCGCAGGGGGCCCTGCGTTATCTATAATGAAGATAATGGTATCATCAAAGCCTTCAGAAACATCCCTGGTAAATTCCTGTAACATTCAGTGTTTTAATTGCCTCTTCTGTACATACTCGCTCATCTTCGGTTATGATGAAATTCCACTTCATGGTCCGTGTTTCTGAAATAACATGATTTTGTGGAAGTTCTGATTTCTAGATGAGTGAGTTCATTAGTCTTTTTATTTTTAAGTGCCTTGTTTAGCTCAATAAGCCATAAATGTATTTCCTCTGTTGATTGAATGCAGGGTCTCTGATTCTTCCTTGCCTTTAAAGGTATTACTCTGCTTAATGTCAGCAAGCTGAACATTTTGAAACTTGCTCCTGGTGGGCACGTGGGGCGTTTCTGCATCTGGACTGAAAGTGCTTTCCGCAAGTTGGATGAGTTGTATGGCACTTGGCGTAAGGCTGCTACCCTCAAGAGTAACTATAAGTGAGTTTCTGATGTTTCTTTATTACATATGGATTCCTAAAGTGTGCATTTATGTTCTTACTGAATTTATATTCTTAAATTAAGCATTGAATTATTACATTCAGTGGAGGGGGGTAAATGCTGTGTTCCTAATCCGTGATTATAAAAGTTATAAGGTGAAAAATTCAGTAGCTGGACAGCTAAGACAATTTGAAATGCAGTTCTATGATTTATGTTCAGTTAGAAGAATTTGGGCTTCCTGTCTTTTTCCAGTCTTCCCATGCACAAGATGATGAACACAGACCTTAGCAGAATCTTGAAAAGTCCAGAGATTCAAAGAGCCCTCCGAGCACCACGGTAAGTTTTGATACTTAACTCATGCTACAGTCTGATACTTGGACTTTAAGGCATACATGTTGATTGATGAGTGCCACGTCTTTACAGCAAGAAGATTCAGCGTAGAGTCTTGAAGAAGAATCCACTGAAGAACCTGAGAATCATGTTGAAGCTCAACCCATATGCAAAGACTATGCGCAGGAATACCATTCTTCGCCAGGCCAGAAATGTGAGCCATAATTTGCTGTGTCAAGTATTATCAATCTTGTTTTAGAAGTTTTGGTACTTCCCCCTTTCCTGGGTCTCTACCTCTGGCTGTACTGGAACTGACAGATTGGCCTGCTTTTCTGCCTTTCAGGTGCTGGGATTCAAACATCTCAGTTAAAGATTTGATTTCCTAACTTCCTATTTGTTGTTGCAGCACAAACTCCGGGTGAAGAAACTGGAAGCAGCAGCAGCACTGGCTGCCAAATCAGAGAAGGGGACTGCAGACAAGAAGCCTGCAGAAAGTAAGAAAGAAAAGAAGCCTGTGGATGTCAAGAAGCAGAAGAAGCCTGCAGGAAAAAAGGCTGCAGCTACCAAGAAACCAGCAGCTGAGAAAAAGCCAGTAGAAAAGAAACCAACTAAAGAAGAGAAAAAGTCTGCTGCTTAATCTATTAAAATTACTTTCATTCCATTGAGCAAATAGACAGCCTATTTGAATAAAAACCTGATCAAAGATGCAGTGAGACTTATGTGTGAATCTTAATTGTGGGTGCATCCAGGGCCACCTCCTCCCCCTTTGTGGGATAGGTATCATGACACTTGGAAATATGGGTTTACAAGGATTAAGCTCAGGTGTGAAGGATATTTTGAATATCTCAATCTCCTGTTAAATTTGTAAATTGTTCCACATTATAACCTGATGTGAAATGAATTTGAGATTTTCCCAGGCCTACAGTGAAGTCCATTTTATTAGCATCTTGGAAGATTTGTCTGAGAAGCTTGTGGGTTATTAAATCAGGAAGTGAAGGGTCAACAAATTAGTAACCACCAGAGGGCATGATGGTACAAGGAAATATCAGCCTCGATAGATGTGGTTCCGTGGGAGCTAAGTACTTTAGCCCTAACCAAGAGTGACGTGTTTGATCTAAATATAAATGTCAATTTGGTCTTCATGCAACTGGCTTAATTTGCTGTATACTTAATAGTATTAGCTAAAGATTTGAGCTACAAATTGCTATTTTGCTTTCTGCCTGCAAATGTCTCCAGCCTTTGTGGAGAAAAGCCATTTGGAACAAATTGCACGTTAAAAGTTCTGGTGAGGCGCACAACTTGGTACTCAGGCAGGCGATCTCCTGAGTTCAAGGCCAGTCGGCCACAGAGAGTACCAGGACAGCCTCCAAAAATAACACTTTAAAAAAAGGTGCTCCGGTGAGAACTGATTTCTTGAAACCTGGGAAACGAGTTTACCTAATTCGACTTTTAAGTAATCAGCAATGGGATTTAAGACTCCAAACTCATTGGCGTTCCATTCATTACCCTGTGCTTTGAGACGCGTCGGTTCCGGAATCAGTAAACTGCTTAAACCGGCGACCCGTGACTGCTTCCGGGAGTCGGAAGTAGCGTCATCACTGGGCGCCTGGCAAAAGGCGTTGACCTAACGAGGGGAGAAAGAGGATGCTAAGCCGGCTGCAGGAACTCCGCAAGGAGGAGGAAACGCTGCTGCGTCTGAAGGCGGCCTTGCACGACCAACTGAACCGCCTCAAGGTGAGCTAGCCACCCTCCAAGCTCAGGCCCTCGCGCGCCACCGTCGCCTGCATTAGAGCTCCGGGCAGCTTGCTCCGCACCGCTCCGGTCCTCTAAGTGTTCCGCGGTCTTAGCCCCCTAAGCCCACCTCTGGCCCGCGGGATCACGCCTCACCTGATGGTTACTAGTGTTTATATGCACTGGAAAGGGCTTTAGTGTTGCAAAACTAGAAGGGATTTTTCTAGTTTCTAGATGCTCCTGGGGTGTGAATGAGGTCTGGGAGAGAAACTTGTCCTCTAGAGTTCTCAGTAACTTGTAGGGAGCAGTTACTGACTGGAAGAACGCAGGTGTACATCTGCCTTGTTCACTCCCTAGACCTCGGGGTAATTTGGTCCCTGTGAAATGATAGTGGAAATACCAGCTCCTCAGTCGTACGCACGTGACTTGAGGGTTACAGAAGGCCTCTACAAACTGAAATTGTATACCTGTGGTATAGAAAATGGCAAGCAGTGTTCCTCGGGGCAGTTAGAAGTGGCGCACACTTATTGCTACAGTACCCCTACAGGCACCTAGTGATTGTTTGGTGACGATGACTTCCCAAACGCAGATACCCTGATGCTTCAGTAAACAGGCGGTTTCTGATCTCCTGCCATCATTTTCTCGTTAGTGAGTAGACAATCTCGGTCTTAGGACATACATTTATGTCTGTGGAGCCAGCTGACCACTCACTTGCATTGCGTGTGTGTGTCAGAGAAAGACACAGAGAGAAGTGTGTGTGTCAGAGAGAGATAGCTTCGCTATGTAACCCAGGCTGGTCTTGAACTTTCTATGTAACCCAGGTTGGCCTCAAACTTACGATCCTTTTGCCTCGGTGCCAGGATTACAGGAGCGCAGTTGCACAACCAGCTACACCTGATGTCATATATATTCTTCTATATGTTTGTGTGTCTGTCTATATATCTTTTGTTTTTTAAATTTTATATCTATTGGTGTATGTAATTTTGTATCTATTGCATGTATGTCTGAGCAGCACTTTCATGCCTCGTGTCTGGGGAAGGTAAAAGGGCATGTTAGATTGCCTGGAACTGGAGTTACAGATAGTTGCGAGCCACCATATGGGTGCTGGGAATAGAGCCCCGACTCTCTGGGAGATCTAGTTGCAGTGGTTCCACTGGTTCTAGCTTTCTGGAAGTGCTCTTCACAACTGATTCATCTCTCCGGCCCCTACACCTGGCTTTTTAGTAGTGCACCTGCATTTCCTTACTGAGCTGCTTGATCTTGGGGTGTGGAAGCCTGCAGCTTAGCTAAACACCAATAAAGTTCTTTTCTTTAAAAAACAGGTAAGCAGGGGCTGGAGAGATGGCTCAGTGGTTAAGAGCACTGACTGCTCTTCCAGAGGACCTGGGTTCAATTCCCAGCACACAAATGGCAATTCAACTGTCTGTAACTCTAAGATCTGACACCCTCACACAGGCAAAACACCAATGTACATAAAATAAGTATAAATAAATTATTTTTTTAAAAAGCAGGTAAGTAGAAGGAGGTACACCTCTATAAGCACAGGACTAGCCTGGTTTACAGAGTGAGTTCTAGGACAACCAAGGCTACACAGAAAAACCTTGTCTCAAAAAAGCAGGTCAGACTGTGTAGGGAACTTCAAAGTTGGCTCTAGACACTCAAGACCAAGTTTTCAGCCCAAAGGAGTTTTTTTTTTTTTTTTTTTTTACCCCAGAGGACAGAGGTCAGGGAATAAGAGACAAAGGCAGGAGATAGACAGTGAGGACCAACAGAAGGGTAACAAGGGAAAGGGACAAGGGTATTTGTCCCAGAGGACAGAGGGCTGCTTCTGAACAGAGAGGAGACAGACATGGCCCATAGGAAAATGGCAGTTTATGAAGGGAAAAGGGAAAACCTCGTGTTAGGGAGAGGTGCTTAATTTTAATTAGGCATATTAATTAGATGAGCCAAAGGGACTGGACCTTAGTATTCAGCCTCAGGAGGAGAGATTGGCTTCAGGATGTAATCTCATGGCTTTTAGTAAGGCAAAAGGAATGGGGAGAAGGGCAAGGCCTGCCAAAGTCACAAACTCAGCTAGTATCCTTTCAGGCCTGGTGTAGTGGCCCACGCTTTTACTCCCAGCACTTGGGAGGCAGAGGCAGGTGGACTTCTGTAAATTCAAGGCCAGCCTTGTCTACATACCAAGTTATGGGGCAGCCAGGACTACATAGTGATACCCTGTTTCAATGGGGGGCGGAGACCGGCTAAAGCTTAAGAGTTTCCTCTGCCCTTTGGGAGCAGGCCTGGGATTAGAAGCAGCTCCCTTTCGTGATGCCAACCTTCACAGCTTCCAGGAATTCACTCACATTGGTAACCCAGCAGAATGTTCAGTGCATGTCCCCAATTCTCCTTCCCTAGGTTGAAGAACTGGCCCTCCAATCCATGATAAGTTCTCGAAGAGGGACTGAACCGCTGTCTTCTCGGCCTGCGCCTGAACAGTTGTGTGATGTAAGTTTGGTGGAGAACAGGCTTCCAGACAGTGTGGAGTCCCATTGTTCCCTTGCTGCATAGCTACATGAATGCTGTATAGCACATTACCAAGTCCAAAGGACTCTGGGACATGCCAATCAAATATTTGGGGCATGAAGGAATTTACTGTGGATTGAACCTGGGGCCTCATACATGGTGAGCAAGCACCCTACCAGTGAGCCATATCTCCAGAGCCCCTCATAATTTGTAGTTCAATAAATAACTAATATACATTAATCTTTCAGGTAATAAGTAGCCTGTATTTTATACTTTGTCAGATTTAAGCAGCCTCTCCCTACTCTCATAATGTGCACCACTATACCTGGCCTTCCCAGTTACTCAGGTTACTCCATTATTCCTAGTTATTCAAGTGAACCGCAAGAAACTGGTAGTGGTAGAGGTCACGGTGAGTTTTGTTTAAAACAGTGTCTTACATACCCAGACTGGCTGCCTTCTGATCTTCTTCCCTGTATGGGATTACAGGCATGTGTCCCCACATCCTGTTTAGAAATTTGGCTCTTCTAGGACTAGTTTAGGGATGTGTCATAGTTGCTGCTCTGTGTGGGTGTGGCTTCAAGCACCAAGCAGGGGCTAAAGGACGAGTAGCAGGTGTTACCCTATCCACTCTTACAAAGTGCCTTCAAAAAGCCAGTACAAGCTGGGCAATGGTGGCACATGCCTTTAATCCCAGTATTCAGGAGGCAGAAGCAGGTGGATCTCTGTGAGTTTGAGGCCAGCCTGGTCTACAAGAGCTAATTCTAGGACAGGTACCAACACTACAGAGAAACCCTGTCTTGAAAAAACAAAAAACAAAAGCAAAAACCAACAATAGTAAGAGCTAATACAGTCATATTTTTTCTAAATATATCATATTTTGGAAATTCCATAATAAACCGTGTAGTCTACACAATTATTTTTGCTGATGGTTTCTAATAGAATTCTGAAGGTCAGTCAACATTATAGAAAATACGAAACAATTCTTCTTACCCCTTTTCAGTAACTGGAGAAGCCAGAAACAGGAAAGTGATCTTTCCTCTCAGTCATAAAAATGTGATGAGGGAAAAAAAATAAAGGATTTCTTTGTGTAGCCCTGGCTGTCCTGAAATTTGTAGACCAGGCTGGCCTCGAATTCAGACATGAATTCAAACATCCGCCTGCCTCTGCATCCCTAGTGCTGGGATTAAAGGCGTGCACAACCTCCACCCACACGTAATAAGTACTCTTAACTGCTGTTCATCTCTCCAACCCCACAAATGAGATTTGATTTTAAAGAATGTGCTGTTTTGAGGTTCAGCTCCTTCCTAGTAATGCCAGTGTTCTCGTTTTACTCAGATGTCGGTGCATGTCGACAATGAAGCATCAATCAATCAAACCACACTGAAGCTGAGTACAAGGAGCCCTATGGAGGAAGAGGAGGAGGAGGAGGAAGAGGAAGAATCTGATTCGTAAGGGGGACAAGAGCTTGGGTTAGTTTTACAAACTGAATTTCTAAGTCACAGGCACTTGCCTTGGGCACCGGTGCTATGTAAAAAAGTATACACTGTGGACAGGAGAGGCTCATTTGGTAAAGTATCTACCATATAAATATGAAAACATGAGTTTGGATCTCCAAATCTATGTAATAAGCTGGGCAAAGTGTTACATGCTTGTAACCTCAACACTGAGGAGAGGGAGCCTGAAGCTGTCTGGCCGGCCAGTGAGCTTCAGGTTCACCAAGAGACCCTGTCTGAAAAAGAGAAAAACCAGTGATGCTGGGCAAGGAGGTATACAACTTTAGTCCCAGAACTTGCTGGAAGGGTTTAGAATAATGTTAGTGTACAGCAAGCTACAAAAATGTTTTTTCCTGCTCTAATATATGAAACAATTCAAGGTCAACTTCACCACTGGACAACTGGGAAAAAGTGGATAATACCTGGTCATTATCTAAAAGATGTTTAGTAGAAAATAAGGAGTTTTAGCGAGCTTTGGCATATACACTCTTGTAATCCCAGGCTTTGAGATTCTCTAGCTGAAGTGATTACCCACTGTGAGGCCAGTCTGGAATGTAATGAAAACAAAATACAATGCAAGGAAACAATGCATGGGTTGATCATTATGCTACGGGAAATAAACAGTCATTCTAGCCCTCCTTTTTTCTGAAAAAGGCAAACACTATACAAATTGAAATAATTTCAGTCATTACTAGGGGTAGGGTAGTCCTGTAGGAGGTGACTGAGGGAGGCGGGGCAGGAGGTCATGACACTGATGGTCTACAGGGTATCCTGTAGGAGGTCAGGACACTGTGATCTACAGGTATCCTGTAGGAGGTCAGGACACTGTGATCTACAGGTATCCTGTAGGAGGTCAGGACATTGATCTACAGGGTATCCTGTAGGAGGTCAGGACACTGTGATGGTCTAGATAACAAGTCCCAGGACAGCCAGGACTACATAGAGACCCTGTCTCAAAAAATATATATAATAAAATAGAGGGGAAATGGTGGGCGTGGTGGTGCACGCCTTTAATCCCAGCACTCAAGAGGCAGAGTCTGGTCTATCGAGCAAGTTCCAGGATGATCAGGGATATACAGAGAAATCCTCTCTCTCCCTTTTTTTCCTTTTAGAAAAAAAAAGAGTGAAAAAAACGCCAACAACCTCTGGCCACAGCACACATGTACACCTCCCCAATACACACCAAACAAACCATACACAGGCCTATACTAACAGCTACCTATACAACACAATACACACACTGGTTTTTATGTAAGATACTCTCCTATAGAAGAAATCAAGGACTAGTGATGAAATGGCCTATAGGATACCTGATGTTTTAGGTCAGCTTGGTTTGTATTTCCTTTTTGTGTGCTCTTGTGTGTGTGGACATGTGTACCACAGTGTGTATATGGAGGTCATAGGACAGCTTATGGAAGTCAGTTCTTCCACTATGTGAGCCTTAAGGATTGAACTCGGGTTGCCTGCCAGGCTCAATATAAGCACTGTTACCTTATCCACTGAACCATGTCACCTGTACTTTTTTTTTTAAGGCTTAAGCTTGTGTGTGTACATATGTAAGTACATGTGGGTACAAAATTCGATCCCTCAGAGCAGGAGGTGCATGTCTGGGATGCCCAGCTTCTAATGTGGGTGCTGGTATCTAAACTGTACCTCACAATTGCATAGTGGTACGTTTTTTATGTGCATTGGTGTGAAGGTGTCGGATCCCTGGAACTGGAGTTACACATAGTCGTGAGCTGCCATGTGGGGGCTGGGAATTGAACCCAGGTCCTCTGGAAGAACTGCCAATGCTCTTGACCATTGAGCCATCTCTCCAGCCCCACACAGACTCCACCCCCCCCCTTTTATTTTATTTTTTTTCTGAGAAAAGGGTTCTCTGTAGCTTTGGAGCCTGTCCTGGAACTTGCTCTATAGACCAGGCTGGCCTGGAACTCACAGAGTTCTGCCTCTGCCTCCTGAGTGCTGGGATTAAAGGCGTGTGCCACCGCTGCCCAGCTCAGACCCCATCTTTTTTTCTGACTTTACAGCTACCTCATAGGCATGACAAAGCCAGCACTGGGGAGTACCCCTCCCCCGCAGAAGGTATAGTGAAAGGAAACCATTTCCCAGTATAGCACAGCAGACTGACTAGACCTTACTGAAGGCTCTCACGCCAGCAAGGACTTCCTGTGGGTATGGCTACTGGCAGGCAGGCCTTGCTACAGAAAATAAGGAATGTTCTGTGAGAAGTAACATGATTTTGCCCAGATAAGTTCCCAGCCCCACTGTGCTGGCTAGGATTTTGTCAGCTGACACAAGATACAGTCATCTGAGAGGAGCAAACCTCAGTTGATAAAATGCGTCGATAAGACTGAGCTTTAGGCAAGCCCGTGGAGTATTTTATTAGTGGTTGATGTGGGATGGCTCAGCCTCTGGGCTGTGGTCCTGAGTGCTGTAATTCAGAAAGCTGAACAAGCCCGTAAGCAGCATTCGTCCATTCCTCTAAATCAGCTTCCGGGTTCCCAACCAGTTTGAATACCTGCCCTGGTTTCCTTCAGTGGACTGTGATTGAGGATATGTAAGCCAAGTCAACCCTTCCCTCCCCAAACTGCTTCTGGTCAGAGTGTTTTGTCACAGCAGTAGAAACCCTAGGACACACACCTGTAGCTTTCTCCTTATGTAAAGCGACTCCGTGTTCACAGGCCCTGGGCAGGTGGTAGTCAGCACTAAAGTTCTGCAGGAGACCCGATGCCTACTGCACAGAGCTGGCAGTGTGTGCTCTGGTTTTGTTTTGTTTGTTTGTTTTTTTGGCTTTTTGAGACAGGATTTTTTTTTTCTGTAGCTTTGGAGCCTGTTCTAGAACTTGCTCTGTAGACTAGGCTGGCCTTGAACTCACAGAGATCCACTTGTCTCTGCCTCCTGAGTGCTGGGATTAAAGGTGTGCGCCACCAACACCCGCCGCCCTGCTTCTCTTTTCTTTTCCTGAGTCTCTCTGCATTCCCCTGGCTGTCTTGGAACTCACTATATAGACCAAGCCAGCCTCAAACTCAGAGATTCATCTGTGTTGGAACTAAATTCATCTGTATTGGAATTAAAGACACTTATGGTACTATATACCCTGAGTATTGACTAATTTTTATGTAAACTCAAAACAATCTAGAATCATTTTGGAAGCAGGAACATGCATTGAGAAATTGCCCCCAACAGACTGTCCTGTGGGCAGCTTGTGGTAAATTTTATTGAATGTTGACTGGTGTGGGAGGGCCCAGCTCACTGTGGGCTATGTTACCCCTGGGCTGGTATTCCTGGTGCTATAAGAAAGGTTCAGCAAACACGAAGAGCATGCCAGTAAGCAGGGTTCCCATGGCCTCTGCTTCAGTTTCTGCCATGAGTTCCCTGGATGGTGGACTGACTACAGGCTGTGAACTGAAGTAAACCCCTTCCTCCCCAGGCTCCTTTGGTCAGGGTGTTCACACCATCAACAGAGATGCTCATATGCAGTATTTATGACTTCCAGCTGTGTTTCTGTCTTTACTTGCCCTACTTCAGTGCATGGCCAATCACTTCACTTCCTATAGGCTAGAGAAATCGAAAGGCCTGCCACAAAAGCAGAAATATCTTTTGTCCTTTTTATTTTAACATGATAGTATTTTTATTAGAATAAGAGTTTAGATTTGATAAACATCTGAATTAAAATGGTTAAAAGGATTTTCATACAATTTGTAGGCACTATACACGTTTACAATAGCATTGGTGCTGGGATTGGAGAAAAGATAGAACTCTGACACATACTGATGCCGGAATCCATTTATGACGTTCAAAATAACCACCTATTTAGAAACACTAATCCAAACTTAAGAGACGTATACCACACTAAGTACCCCACACAGTGTATTTAAAAATAAATATAGAAATACAACCAGAAGTCTAAAAATCGCCACTGTAGACAGACTGAAGCCCCAGCTATCATGGCAGTGATGGGCTCTGGGTAGATTTTTGTTTTTTTGTTGTTTTTTTTTCCCCTTTTTTTTTGATGGGAATTGCTAAATTCTATACCAAAAGCAAAAAATAAAAATAACATGATGTACACAATCTGATGCTTATTTCATTAGCAGCAAAGCATGCTTCCCATGCACTGCCTGTGAAGGTCTCACGAGGCTCCCTCTCCTCGGACTGAGAGGTCACCAGCAAGAGTGAAGTACCAAGGGGCTGAGAATCCTGACAATCCAGGCAGCCAGTGAGTCAGGGAACATGAACAGCAGTGCAAACATCAGTAAGAATGACCACCCAGGTCACCAGGGTTTCACTATAGTTCAGCCTGGTATGAGTTTGATCAACATACAAATAGCCCCAAGCACAAAGCCAATCCACTTAGGGGAGTAACCATAGTGATAAAGACAGTGATATTAAAAATGACACAAGTACAATTTGGCACATGCTGTGTTCTTCATCCTTTGTCACAGATGAGGTGCACGTCTGAACAGAGACAAGCATGGGAGAGGCCTGAAAGCAACATGGCATGCCGCTGGGCAGAGGAGTTCCTCTTTGCTGCTTCCCAAAGGCTCAGATGCTAGCGGCGTGGGTTGGTGTGCTGGGCTGGTTAAGCCCAATGGTAGAGCAGAGCCACCCTGCGAAGTCCACCTCCTCAGCATCAGATCTCTTGATGAAAGCATGAACCTGGGTGCAGAAAACAGAGAAAGGAAATGCTGTTAAAAACTACCAAGAGGAAAAAGCAAGAGTTTCAGCCTGGTCGGACCACTTGGAAGATGCTTCTAGTGTTCACCCTTGAACAGCAAGTAGGCCAGCTGCAGCCCAAAGATCCTCTGCCATGACCATGCATATAAGTTGTGCGGCCCTTGTCTCTGAGCAACCCTGACTTGTTAGAAGGTACACTACACTCAAGGCTACACCGGGCTTGGAGCAGGGACCTTAAAATACCACATCCCTGTGCCAATGTCGTCAAATAATTAGATGGAGAGCAACCCAGGATGCTGGAAATGTGAGATGAACCAGTCAGAACTAGAAAAAAAAGGCCTGTCCTCAGGAAGGTTGTGGGCTGGCCCCTCCCTGACTCGCATCCCAGGTCCCCCCTGTAACTCACATCTGGCACTGTGCAGCCCCAACCCTGACTAAAGAATGAGGGCTGGGGCAAGACAGACAAATGGTCAAGTGAGATGAATAAACAGGCTCTGAGACTCACCATGAGCTGCTTCAGGTCTGCTCTCTCTGCAGGGTTCTTTATCAAGCTGAAAAGAAGGAAGATTAATGTGAGAACACTGGTTTCCAGTCACTGCCCCTTACATGAAGGCTGAGGAACTAGGGGCCTGAGCCTGGCTCTTCCTCCTCCATTCTAGGCACACCATCATGCCTGAGCACACAAAGGATGTCTTGCTGAATTAAATCAAGGTCAGGAAGCAACAGGATGATCCCTGCAGTTCAAGTAAGAGTAACACGTGCCAGTGCTACAAGGGGTATAACAGCAACCAGGGTTAGAGGACAGGGAAAGGGTAAGGCCAGGGTCTCGGGAATGTAGTGCAAACTTACCATTTATTCACAAAATCTTGGAATTCCAGACTGAATACTCCACTGGGCAATTTTGGAGGAGGCTGCAAACATATCACCATGTGAAACTCTAGACCCCTGCTCCAGTCACCTCCCCACCATGCCTCTGGCCACTGCTACCCTCATCAGTTCCAGGAAAGTGGCCTTAAGAAGTCCTGTTCGTCCTGGTTCACCTTATTGGGACCACTTCAAGTATTCTACCACTCTAGTGACTGAACAAACCATGTTTCCCTCAGCCTGTTCAGTCTCCTATGAAATAAGGCTGTGCTATTAGCTCTAGAACCCTCTGAGTTTAGACCCTCAGGTGCAGAATAAGAATAGTGTAAGAGTGTGACTGGCCTGGAAGGGTCAGCAGTAGTTACCAATAGCAGAAGCCTCAGGAATGCACAAACCAGGAAGCACCACTTCAGCCTGACAGTACTCCCAGAAACCACAAAACGAAACTGTTTTCAGAGCCCTGAATAGTCACAGAAAGTTAACACATTAACTGGCAAGGCTGAGTATGGATGAATACTGCCCACACACTGTAGCAGAGTGGCATCTCCCAGGTCCCTGACACAGATCCTGACAGTAGCTTGAGGAAATCTGCAGTTGACATGACCTGTGCCAGCAATGTAGCTTTCTTGGGAGGAGCAGTACTTGAGATAGACCTGTGATGTCCCTGCTCTAATGAGACATCAGCTAAAGCATTCAGAAAGCAGAAGTAGGTAGATCTCTTGAGTTCTAGGCCAGCCTGGTCTACATAGTGAATTCAAGTCAGAAATATATAGTGAGATCCTGTTTTAAAAAACAGGGAGGGAGGGAGAGAGGGAGGGAGGGAGAAAAACCACTAATTGGGTGGTACCTGCTTGCAGTCCCATCATTTTGGAAGGCTGAGGCATTTGAGACTAGGCCAGGCTACATGATGAGAGCTTACCTAAAACAAACAGAACCAACCCTGGTTCTGCACACGTGGCTCAGTTCAGTGGTAGAGAGTTTGCATAGCATGTATGAGGCAGGTTTGATCCTCAGCATTACAAAAACAAAATACAAGTACCCTACTAAAAACAATTTGAGGTCAGCTCCCATCCAGATTGTACAATAGTGGCCCTGAGCAAGCTTCTCCCAGTAAATTGTCCCTGCTGCTGAGGTGGTGAGGAATATTCAAGAGAAAATAAGAAAGGGCAGACAAGGAAGGGCTGAGTGCAAACAAAGACACTTGGGGTCAGGGAATGGAAAAAGGTAGGTGACAGAAAGCACTGGGGAAAAGACATAGCTACTACCCATCCTGGAGCCCCAGTTTCCTTACCTATAAGAAGAGGGCAAAGGCAGTTTGGCTTGAAGAACAGAGTGAGGAAAGCAGTGTACAGAGCTGCACAGGTGGTCCAGGCAGCCTCCCCAACAGGCCACCCACCTAGAGCCATGTAGGCTTCAATAGGCAGAGGACAGATGGCCCACCCTGCACTGATGAGCCTCTCAAGCCTGCACTGTTCTGCCCTGCCCCGTGCTATTTGGCACACTGCTCTGCACATATTAGAGAAGTAAACTAGGTTTCCTGGTGAGCAGGAAAACATAAATGCAGGTTATTCCCTGTAGAGTTTGTGATAGTGGACCTTTTGTGCCTTTAAGGGTCTGTTTTCAGAGGACACAAGATTTCTTGAGGCAAAGAAAGGTGACAACTGTATCTGAGCCCAGTGCTGCCTGTGAAAGGTAACAGCACTCATCCCTTCTTATCAACTGCCAAGGCTGCTCCTCTGCAAGACAGAGTGCTGGTCCACTGGGCTTCCTCACATCCATGTGCTGCCCCCAAGTTACGCTGGAGCAAACCTTGGGGCAAGTCTCCTCCATGATTTCACAAGAGGTATGACTCTTTATATTAAAGTCAACCAAGAGTAACAATAAGAGTTTGATTTTTAATTGCCTTTTTAGTAGGCACATTAAAAAAGATTTTTCTCTAAACTTTTTTCTCTTCTTTTAGAGAGTGTCTCATTCTATAGTGCAGGCTAGCCCAGAAGTCATTATATTCTCCCTTGGCCTCCCATGTGCTAGGATTACAAGACTGAGCCACTTCAACCCAAAGTAATGTGCTTATTCACAGAACTGATAATGGATGTTCCACATCTTTCTATAGTCACAGCATTTTTAAAAAATTTATTTGTTATACATATACTTGCCAGAAGAGGGTGCCAGATCTCATTACAGATGGTTGTGAGCCACCAAGTGGTTGCTGGAAATTGAACTCAGGACCTCTAGAAGAGCAGACAGTGCTCTTAACCTCTGAGCCATCTCTCCAGCCCTAGACACAGCTTTTTAAACAGCACTTTAAAAGAAGCAGCTGGATGGTGGTGGTGCACGTCTTTAATCCCAGCACTCAGAAGGCATAAGTGGGTGGATGGCTGAGAACTGAAGGCCAGCCTGATCTACAGAGCCAGTTCTAGGACAGCCAAGAAATATATACAGAGGTCACAGGCATGCTGACCAAGTCAGCCATGGTTTTCTCTTTCACCTACACTTCTGAGACAGGGATCTTACTATGTAGTCCAGTTCTGTCCCGGGCTTAAAACTCTCCTGTCTCAATCTGAGTACTGGGATCACAGGTATATACCAAGACACTCATAACTGCTATTTTATTTTTTCCCTTTCCATGTGTTTGTTTTTTAATTTTATGTGTGTATTTTGTCCATATGTATGTCTGTGTATTACATGCATGCAGTATCCACAAAGGAGGGTGTCAGATCCGTTGGAACTAGGGTTACAGATGGTTATGAGCTATCATGTGAGTGCTGGGAATTGAACCCAGATCCTCTGCAAGAACAACCACTGTGCTTACCCACCGAGCCATCTCACCAGCTCATAACTTTTTTTTAAAGCTTTATGTATGAGTGCCCTAGCTCTATGTACAACTTTATGCCAGAAGAGGGCATCAGATCCCAGGATAGATGGTTGTGAGCCACCATGTGGTTCCTGGGAATTGAACTTACGACCTCTGGAAGAACAGACAGTACTCTTAACTACTAAACCATCTCTCCAGCCCTCATAACTACTTTCCTAAGTAGAATAACTTAGGTTAAGGAAACCTGGCAGCACTTACCTCATTGACTATATAATCCAACAACTCAAAAATTGCCATGGGAGGTCGGCTGTCCATTCCATATGCTGCAGATTTATACAGAAGAAATTAAAAAAATGTAGATATAGACAAGAAGCTACTTGCCAATATGAGTCAAGGGGTTGATCACAGATCATTAATAAAAAGCTACTTTAGTCAAGGCCTAAACATGGAGAGAATCCAGAAGGCTAGGCTATGAGTCTTTGCTCAGTAACATCCTAGATGTGTGACCTCAGGCAAATCAGTTGACCACCGAGTCAAAGAATAGATCTTTGGGATGGGAATCAAATGACAATTCATCTTGCCATCCTTCATTTACAGAGCAGCCAATGGCATAACAAGTAAATAAGTGCAGGGCTATATTTGGGCTTGGCTTATGTGCACTGTATAAGTAGAGCCCACAGCTTCACAAGTGCTAGGCAAGCTCTACCACTAAGCCGTACTCTCAGGCTTAGAATTTGTTTTTAGTTCGCCCTGAGCATGGATTTCTTCCTTTCCTGCCCTAAGATCACAAGCAATTGACCATGAGGAACATTTCGTTTGAAATGTGCTCAACTGACAATTTCCAGTTCTCTCATCTTCCTTACAATGCTTGAAATGTCAAACTATTTAAAAAGGACAGTTGGGCCAGGCGGTGGTGGCGCACGCCTTTAATCCCAGCACTCGGGAGGCAGAGGCAGGCGGATCTCTGGGAATTTGAGGCCAGTCTGGTCTACAAAGTAAGTTCCAGGACAGCCAGGGCTGTTCCACAGAGAAACCCTGTCGATAGATAGATAGATAGATAGATAGATAGATAGATAGATAGATAGATAGATAGATAGATAGATAGATAGATAGATAGATGATAGAGATAGAATGACCACAATATTAAAAACAAAAATGAAAAAAAACAAGACATGCCCTTCAAGCACTGATGCCTCTCTCTTCCTGTACACGTTCAGTCACTAGGTTAACAGGATA